AGATTCCTTCGAAGACCCTAATTAATTTCCTGTTAAATCTTGAAGATCATTATTTGAAAGTGCCCTACCATAATAGTAGCCATGCGGCTGATGTTACTCAATCAGTGCACGTACTACTTTTAATGCCAGCGCTAGAGGTAATCTGGCATCAGAACATTTACATAAGTGAAATATTAATTTAGGAATCTTGTAATCTATTGTTTCATGTCAATTCCTAAAACTGATTCGACGCTTAAACAACCAATTTTCTAATCATCCAATCAAGATTTATGTCCGATTTCTCTCTTTTTTGTTCAATTTCAGGAAGAATTTTCCATGATTTTTAATTACACAGGATTACTGTAAACACTAGAACACTAATTGTTTCCGTGTTTCATATGTATACAACTATTTACAACTTAGCATATGTTTTACTGACATTTGAGCAGGTAATGTAAGTGTAAATTACATAGTGTTACCACTGAAACAGTGCTTTAAATACTCTCCCAAGGAAGTAATCTGTAAATGAAAGGCCTATTTAATCAAAAGGGTTAATAATGCTGTTGAGCCACAGCCATATCTAATTTTTGTTTCTCGCAGAACTGTCGAACTTAAGTAATTAAGTCGGAGGATTCTTAGAACCCTTTACGCTATTCTCGAGTTCAATAGAATTATTTCATATGAAGGATGCAGGAACGCGTTCCAAGGTATGAAATAATTTTATTGGTTATAAATTTAAATAAAAGATCCAGGATTACTAAACTGAAATCGCGATTTAAAACTTTGATATGTTCTCTTTTCCGTCAACCTGTAAATATTTGCTTAAAATACTTGCAATGTTTCTGAAATTCATATTTCGAAAGTTTCATTTCATATATCGCAAGTCATCAAGCTTCTAAAAAGTAGAAAACAAGTTTGAACATATACATATCCCTAAAAGCATTTTTATAAATATTGATAATAAGTAAATTCGCCATAGCCACCATTTCACTTATGCTTACACTATGACTGTAATGCTTCTTAGATGACATTTAAAATAGAAGTGCATCTAACTCCGTTTGTAGTTCGGACTGAATGTTGTTAGTGAGATCAAAACAGAGAAACACGTTTGAATTTTACCCTAGATAACTTAAAGAAAAAAAGTAACAAAGAACCAAATCTTGCAAGCCAAAAGGAAGGTTAACTAACTGAGAGTTTCATCCCGTAGAAACACTTATTTAATTTTAACGTGGTTTTTTGCGTAGTTGTAGGGAAGTAACAAATTCTTACATCTCCAACTTGTGAGAACTTTTTGGCAAATGTTCTCCCTTAATTTCATCAAAATATCGGGACAGAATGCCCCGCTGTCTATATGATTGGACAGGGGGTCGGACACTCAGGTCAACTTCCTCTTCATATCGCTTTCTCCACAAAATAATGAACATCGTTTTTGTTGTGGTCCTAGCTTTCCTTGGCCTTTTGTTTCTTGAGCAATTTGAAGTTAACCATTTTAAGGTCTATTAGAACATGTAATATTATTTACGAATTAACATCTTATTCCATTTGGTGACCTTAGGAGATATTCAGGCCTAAAGTGCTGCATACTATTTAATTAAAATTTGACGGTAGGCTCCCTTTATTTAGTTTAAAGAGCCGCTGGTGCTTACTACGTAGAATTACTAACGGAAGTGTGAGGATGTTATAAAACTAATAAAACAAAAAAAGATTTTACATACGCAAATATATTTTATTTTACATTTTATTAATTACATTTATTACATTATTTTTATCATGTTACATATTTATTTATTTACTTTACTTTACTTTTTATTTTTTTACATTATTACTTTTAAATGATTCAAAATTTCACTATGTAAAATTTTTCGATGATATGAGAAACGAGGTACATAAATTAGGATGCCTGCAGTTATATTCCTAGTAAAGTTAAATCTATAAATGAATTGCCATGCGTACTTGGATAGTTACTTGGCGCCATATTAAAATTAAAATAATGTTTCATAAAACCAAAAACGTTTTCGTTTCATTTAATGTCTACACTGAAATCTCCCAAGATAATATTAGGAATATCTATATCTACAGTAATTCTTTTCACCGATCAATAAAGTAGTCTCAGAACATTTCATCAGTGCATTAAAGAAGAACATCTTCAAATCTTTTGAATCAACATTTGGATGGATACATACAGATGCTAGAATAAATCTTGACTAAATTGCATCAATCATACAAATATCGCCTGCTTTTGAATCCTGTATTTTCTGACGCTGCTTAACAGTAAATTATGTTGGTACACAATCTGCTATACTCGTCAAATTTCTTTAAATCGCAACACCACTAGCTTGGCGAAATAAAATAAAATACAGTAAACACCACTCGAACACACTGACTGTCTACCAGACCACATTGCCACTGTCAAGCGGTCGCGCATGCCCACGAAGGTTAGAACTCCCCAAAATTTCGCTACTTTTTGACACATCGCTATGCATATACCCTTTGTCCAATTTTTAAAATATTTTTTATGTTTGCTAATGTGCTCTTTCATCTATTTAAATACATATTTAGATTGAATGCAACGTTTGTAGGTTCGAAGATATAAATATTCGCGCATACTTCAAATAGAGTTTTAATTTTTGCTTTCCCATCAGACCATTATGGAGGAAAGTATGCCTACGTTAAAAAAAAATAAGGTATTATGCCATTCATGGTGCGAGTATTAGGACAAACCTAATTTTGCATTTATAAGGAATAGACCTTTTAGTTGGTATACTGATCAAATTTATTTAAATAAGATTTTAAAATTTTATTTGTCCCGTTTTTTATCAGCCTTGTCTTAAATATATATGCATTACTAATCTAAAAATTCTGAGATAATTTCTTTTTGTGCTCACAGAACAGTAAAAATAACCCTACAAGTAATGAACTAGTAACTGATTCGGACTAAGTTATAAAAACTTTCGGTTTTTATGCTAACTAACGTTAGGATTAATGGGAACATTTTATGCTAACTAACTAACGTTAGCATAAAATGTTCCCATTTATATTCTGTGTGGTTAGCTCTGGAAAATTTAGTTTAAACTTCTGACTTTTTTATCGACCAAAGTGAAATCTAAATCATTATTTCATACAGATGGCTTTTGTAATTTCAGCAGGATAGTTTAAAAGTTTCTCATTATAATACTATCTCTTATTATGCTGTCTAGCACTGTACTTACCTGGCACTGTACCTTTTTAGATTTGAATAAGAAAGTTACATGATCTTTTAAATATACTAGAATGAATCTGTAATGGATGCTAGAAATAGTATGTATTTCAGTTGTCTTAATCCTGTGGAAATAATGATAATAGCTTTAAAAATATGTGTTCAGGTGGCTAATTATTTTCTTTTTCTTTTAGTCTGTGTTTTCTGATTTGGAAGTGTTGGCTATTCTCTTTTCTGCTGCCATTCATGATGTTGATCACCCTGGAGTCACTAATCAATATCTCATTAATTCGAGTGAGTCTTAATTTAATATTGACTAACACTTTTAATTATATTAGACATCTATTAATGGCTGTTATTAAATTATTATTTAATTAAAAATTAATTATGTTATTTACTAATTAAAAAATTTCAAATTGCATTTTATTACAATTTCCAGTATCGTTCCATTTAGCGGATTAAGTCTAGTAAACATTCGCACTCTATTCCAGAATAGAATTCCCTTTTATCAAGTAAATAAATAACTTATTTCTAAAATCAGAAAGATCAGATAAGCGTAAAGACTCACCCAAATGTAAAGCGTAAAATTTTCTATGATTAATTAAAATGTCTAAAGTATTTTACGCAGGTTTTCAATGTTTCAGTACAAAACTTCATATTTGTTTAAAAAAATATTAATGATGTAGTTGTTGAAAGTGACCGCAACAACCATACCATAAGTGTAGTTTTAATTTTTAAATCATGTAATTGCTAAAATATTATCGCAATAACCATAAAAAGTAGTTTATAATTCTTAAAATTTTTTTTGTCTATATTAAAAGCAAGTTGCTCTTCATCGTTAGTAAATATGGCTCAACGTTTCTGAGGAGTGTCACGTTGATTAAAATAAATACTGAAATGTTTCAGAAGTCAAACAACAAAAATCAGCGCAAATGGATTTGTGCTTTTGCAGCTGAGGATGATGGTTCGGTAAAACCATCGAAACTAGTCCTGCGAAAATTTGAAAACGCTGATTTTTGTTGTTTGACTTCTGAATTAGTATTTGTTCGGCGTGTTATCGTATCTGAATGTTTATGAGTGGTATTATATTCTTTCTCAATTTTGAGCAAAAAGAATGTTTTATCTGTATGATTGAACAAGAAAGGTGAGTGGTTTTTTTTTTTTTTTGTTACCAAAAATAAATAAATAAATAAATAAATAAATAAATAAAACTGGGTCGAGATAGATGTGGCCTTAATTCGGAAAAGAGGCAAGTATTACATTTTATTCCATAAATTCATTCAACTTTAAAATCAAGGAATGTTTGGAATAACCTATGTGAGCATGACAGAAATGAAAATTATACTGAAGAATCTCGAAGTCGTGCATTGACGTTTGACGGTGAGTATGAAAGGTATGTGATGGTTATAAATGTAAGGAAAGTACACGTATGCTAAAGAATATTTTTCATTAGGTATTAATTTTAGCATTCTTCAGTACTTCAGTAATATTTCAACTTCAATACTTCAGTAATATAGTTTTTTTATTCAGATTCCTGTGTATAAAATCATCTTAACACTACAAAAATTTGTGTGTCTTCTTTCCCATTAGGTTTCCTGTTTTGGTACTGATATGCATAAGAAAAATGATATTTGAATAAATCTGAATAAAAAACTTTATAAAGGTCGAGAAACATGCACGTTTCACTTTACTGAATACTATCTCATTGACTCGTATAACAATCTCATTGACTCGTATAACAATCTCATTGACTCGTATAACATATCAAAGGGCTTGCGTAAATATTAAGTACATGAGAAACATAAAAAAGAATACTTTTGAAATCTGTTGAAATAGTTTCATACTTTATTATTATCTGTGTAGCGAAAATATGCTCTGAAATCCATGCGTACCAATTGTTACATACTTTAAATTATTTTATATTCTATTCGTCTTGTGTATGTTATTATAATGTTTTGTATCAAGTTTCTTCAGATATAAACTATGTAATGCACATCAGTGATCTCTGAAAGCTACTAATTTGTTTCCCATGTTTATATTTTTAAACAGGTATAGGAACAGCAGATATTTTTAGCACTTTCTCTAAATTTAAATTTATAAGGTCGAGAAACATGCACGTTTCACTTTACTGGATACTATTCGACTCATAGGAGGATGCGGGCATTCGATTTGTATAATAGGCTGGCAGGTATAGTCTAGTCTCTTCTACCGAAGCACCATCTTACGTATGACTGGCAACATCTGCCACCGAAGGATTTCATCAGCCCCTTCTAGCACATGCCCAGCGAGAAAGCTTTTGGAGAGAGTTTACGTCGACTGTTTGTGGTTTTGACCTGGGCTCCATTAATGGCCACATTATTAGAGCGCGATAAATATGCAATCAAACACATTCAGAAGAATTAGACGAAAAATTAATTTAAGGAATGAATCATTTGATTCTTAGGCTCAGTGGCTTTACGCAGCATAAAATTTCTCGAAAGAGTTTTCAATCAATGAGCAGAAAAATTTTCCTAAAACAGCACAGAAGTATTAGTAGAATAAGAAATTAAAACATTCTGTACGTTTAATCAGCAAATGTTTTTATTTTATAATTTTCACAATAAAATAATGATTGATATTCTCGAATGTGTATTTTCGGTATTTGGGCTATAAATAAAAACAGAATACAATGTTTATCTCGTCAGTTTTCTCGAACAATAAATAGCGAACAGATAACAAGCGATATAGATTCAGCAGCTCGCAATGAAATAAATATGGTAATTCAGCGGCGCCATCTGTCGAGGAATACTCGGAATATACGGTACAAATTTTTTCCTAATATAATCTTGAATAGACGAACCCTTCTCTTTATACTGTCAAACCATTTGTTTGAAGAAATATTGCTCTCGTCAGATTTATTAATATTTTTATCATAATTTTAATGTAGAATATGTTGTCATTCAAAGTTAAATATCCTCAAGCCTATTATTTTTAATCATGCAGTACACGAAACCATTTTTTTTTTAATCATCGTACTTTACAGTATCTGCTGCATTTGGCGAAAAGTAATAGTTGTATTTTTATCTTCTAACAGAGATTATTTTATGAAACATTCCTGTGCATTTAAATGATGATTAATGTAACTTGTGACAGAAAATATGGAATATTTGAGTACAGCCTTTATTTTATAATTGATTCCGGGGAAAAATGACCTCTTTGGTGTGTAATATCTGGTATTACATATTGTTTAATTGCTGAACCAGTTTTTTTTATTTAACCTTTTTTGATACAAAATCGTTATAGGTGTAACTTAAGAATCGTTTACATGTTAAAGTGATTTACATGTTCTCTCATTTGTAAAAATGTTGCGCAATTACAATGTTCATTATGTAACCTTTGCACAAAGGGTTCCTGATCTCCATTCCTGTTGCACAAAGGTTTGTCCCTTGCTTTCTATTGATTTTTATTTTCTGTTGTGCCAGGTTCTGAACTTGCCGTTATGTATAATGATGAATCGGTGTTGGAAAATCATTCCTTAGCGGTGGCCTTCAAACTTCTTCAAGACGAGAACTGCAACATTTTCTCAAGTCTGAATAAAAAACAAATGCTGAGTCTCCGTAAAATGGCCATTGATATGGTAAGTTCACTAACCCACTTGATCATGATTATATTTCATTTTTAAGTAACATAAGGCTGCTGAGGATGTTTTAGGAACTGAAGAATAATTTTGGAAACTCTCGCTACAGGTGTATATTATTTCCTTCAAACTGAACTGTGTTTATTGTTTGTTATTTGAAACGTACAACATTTAGTTAACTTACTTGAATAATTAGTTTAGGTTTATCCGCAATGAAACGGATCACGCTCGGGTGGGAGAGATGCAGAAAAACTACGTAGAGTGAATAGAGAAAAACTTCAGGAAACTTTCTTTGTCTGGGTTTACCTTAAAATTTCGCGATTAAGAATTTACATCAGCATTTCGGGGGGGGGAGATGCATGCCAGAAACGAAGCAATAATACAATAACTTAATAGCTAACAAAAATTTCTAAAAACTTTTGTTGTGCATTTTGTATTCAATACTGTTATTTTTGATGAAAATCGAATATAATCAGTTATAATTTAATCGAAATCAATTATTTACATTTTGTACTGTAAACAAATTCTATTCATTTAGTAATCGAAATTATTTATCTCTATTGACAGGCAAGAGAAGACGACTTTTAAGAATCTACGTTATTTTTGCTATTCTAGGAACTTAATTAAAACTTAATGTAATATAAGGTTGAATCTGTTAGTTTGGAGTTTTGGACAGGTTTAGTTTTCAAGGTCTTTTTTCAAATATTATGACGTAAAGTAGCATCAAATTTATTTAAATATAAGAATAATCTTACGATTGCAACAGAAATAAAGAATAATCAAAAAATGTTCGAAATATGGGGATTTACTCCACATTCGCAAAAAAATCTGATATTCGCGATATCTTAAAAAAAATAAATACTTCTAAAATTCACAGAAATTCACGTAGCGATAAATTTGCTATCCTACTCATAGGTCAATACTATTACTCAGTAATTAAATATTAAAACCACATTAATGATGCACATGATTATTATGCCTAATAGCTTTCTATATCTATGTGTGAATTTCCGTTTATCCCGTCGAATGTAGCCATTTTCCTTAAATTATGAAACAATAAATTAACATTTTATCCAATTTTTTTGCCACGTGGAATTTTTTAATCCATACATAGAAAAATAAATCCGTTTGTAAACGTGTATTTGAAAATTTATTTTCTACATTATGAAAACAATACCAAGTTTACGAATTAATTGCGAAAAACAATACCAGTTGAGGAATAAACAGATGTATATGACCACTAAAAGTAATCTGCGAATTAATTGATTAATCCTTTGAGAGCAGAAACGCCCGGGACAGCCTTTCATTCAAATAACCAAAACCGCCTGAAACGGCGGAGATTGCAATGTTGTTTTCTCCTCTGCCCCTAAGGTACGCAATTTCCCCAAATGCATTGTATTAGTTTATTCCAGGCAGCTGTCCTCAAAGCCTAATGGAAGCTTGTTTGTTAGCAAGTAGAAAGGATATCATTTGAAATATTCACATCTCTTTGTGCGTTAATGGAAAAGGGAGGGGTGGGTGATATACGGGGACCGGCGTTTTGGTATTTTAAGCATGCAGATTAGGGAAGGCTTCGGTTTTCTAAGGGTTAAGGGAATAATATTTATGTTGTTTTATGCTTAAAATATTATCAGCAATTATTAAAGTTAGGATGCATGTTATTAACTTCGAAAAGAATGCTGGCACATTTCTCCTAAGCTTTTAATTTTTAACCAAGTAAACTAGTAATCTATCTGCGATGCTTTCGCCTTCAGAGAAAAAATAATGTAATCAGAATTTTTTAAATATACATCTTTCTAGTACGCATTTCGTATTTTGCATGGAAGCATCTAATCGAACTTAATAGTCAATCAGTCTGAATTCCTAATCTAGTCCAATTAATTGGAAGCAAACTAGAGAGATATTTACGCATAAATTATACAGCGCCGTATAAAAAATACAGCGAAAACTTTAATAAGTTTAAAACTTTTATTTATACCTACGAACGATAGCTTTCAATTCATTTATTAACAAATAACGAAGAGCAGAAAGTGAAGAGAAGAAATTAAAACAAAATTTAAAAGAAAAAAAGTCTGAAAGCTTTCAGATTTTATATTACGCACAAAGGGGCGTTTTTTTAACGTTTTCAGTGTTCCCTTTATTTATTAAATATCATGTTCTTTGCACTTAAACCATAAAATTCAATTCAACAGCAATATCGCAAAATAATTTTAAAATGAACATATCTTTAGAATTTCCGATACATAGTCTCGCGCGATGGAGATAAAAAATGTTTTTTCGTACAGCGTTGCCATTGCTCGCTTTGTAAACGTTGAGTTTCTTTATAAAAAATTCGTTAAAGTTTTACAAAATATGGAATAGATAATGGAACAAATTCCAAATTCTAAGTTCGGGCTTCCAGATCCGCATATTCTAGTGGAGGACAACTTATTGTAAATTTGATGTCTCTAGGTACCGTTGTTTTTTCGCAGCGGGAGAAACATACATACATTCATGCAGATTCTTCATTATTTAATTTTCTTTAAATATAATGCGGGGTTCTAATATTAGGTGGCAACAATTAGAAAAATTGGCCCGACATTTATAGTGAATCAACGCAAAATGCCAAAAGGAAATTAATAGCCCTTCTAGGCTAATGTCCTTTAGGCTAATAAAATGAAATAAAATTGAATATACAAAATCCGTTAAATCATACCATCACATAAGAGTATGATCATCCTAGAAAGCGCTGAAAGCTGCTCAGGATGTATCATAGGCGGCAACAAAATTACATCCGTGAGAAAGAGTCCCAAATCTCCCACCCGTCTCTCCCTGCAACTAAATCTATCGAAAGAACCACTTTCAGCTCGTCAGTGTTTTAAGTGCCTTGATACCATACAAACACTATACATTTGCAAACATCTAAGTCTTACTCGGGATTCATACCCGAGCCCAACCATACATCAGCCAGGGCGATACCAATCAGGGCGAATAATTAGCTTCCTTCAGCTTAATGCCTGTCCATAACCTTCAGCTTAATGCACTGTCCAATTTACTGCAAACAATTAAGTTTTTCAACCGAGATCGTACCCTGTAGAATCAAAGATCATAGCAGAGGAAAGTTCTTACATATTTTACACAATTTTGAAATATTTCATATGATCATACGTCATCCAGAATTGGGCAAAGTCCAACTCTTCTGTTTTAGACGCATTGAATTTCGATAGCTTTAATATTCTATTTTAACTAATAAAAGTAATACTATTTTGCCAGATTAGTTTTGATTTTTCTACAGCTATGTCTAAGTTTTTAAGGGACTAGGACACTTGTTATTCTTAAAGTTTTTGTTTGGGAAGAATAATATTATTTTTCTGTTTTTAAGCTGTACTAAGGTATCATGTTCTTTATTTATTTAGGTTTTGGCAACAGACATGTCAAAACACATGAATTTATTGGCTGATTTGAAGACGATGGTTGAAACAAAGAAAGTCGCTGGTTCTGGAATGGTCCTTCTGGACAACTATACGGAAAGAATACAGGTATAAAAATTTAATGCATCTGCCGCAAATTAACCTGTTGTAATAATACATAATTTCTGTCATGAATTAATATGTAATCTAAGGTCTTAGGTAACATTTTAAACAAAATTTCAAAGAATTTTAAAACTAATTTCCTGATCAGTAAAATAAGCATTTATTTATCCGTTTAAACGTTCTCTGAAACAGATAAATTACATGAACATTTGAGAAGCAAACGCATCTTTACCAGATATCACTTATTGTTATCTTTATCAGATATCATCATATATTATTTATTGCCGCCTTTATCATATTATGCAAGTCATCTTTACCAACTATCACTTATTACTTCAGTTTTAAACATAATACTCAATATTTTGATCTCTCAGCGGGATAAATTACAATAAACATCTTTATTATATAATGAAAAGTGTTAATTTAGCTAATAAAAAGTGTGTTTCATTAATCTTGTGCTCTCAAGTGCGTAATACTTACGCCATATAATTAGCTTTTACTTAATTCGGCCGTAAAAAATAAGGTTAGCCATAATTTTAATGAAGACATTTTATTTCCCAGTGTTCGTTCCTAGTAGTCAGTTCGCTATTTTTAATGTGCGCGTGTTTGTGAGGTAAAAGGTAAAAGTGATTTTTTTTTTCAGACTTTCGAGGAAACTCTAGTGCGTAGTTTGTAGGTAATAATAGGAAGATCAGTTGAAACAAATCAAGCGCTAAGGGAATTAAGTTGAAATTTTCTTTAATGATGCTAATGGGAAACTAATTCAAAATATGCTATAGGAAGCTAAAAATTAACTGTCAGTTAATGTAAAAATTTCGTATCGTAAATTCGTATCGTAAAAATTTCGTATCGTAAATAGATAAAATTTACAAAAAAAAAAAAAAAAAAAAAAAAAAAAAAAAAAAAGCGCATTTTGCTATTGCTAATGCAGTAAGGCTTCCCATTAGAGCATTAAGGCACATTTCCTCAATTTGGCAGAAAATTAAACTTGTAACAGAATCTGAGTCATTTCAGGTATTCCGTGAACACTGGGAACCTGAAAACAAGATAATAGCTTCTTTCTTACTAAATAAGCGAATAATAACTATGTCAGCTACAAGCACTACGAATACAACTAGGATTGACAGGATCAAATCGGTATGTTACATATTGACCATGTTAGAGATCGTGCCCTGTAGCTTCAATATTCTATGAAGCATTATTAAGCTTTAGAGAGAAGGTTTCATCAAAGTTGATGTAGACAAGATTGAATTTTTTCCTTTATTACAGAACTGGACAGCTACATAAACACATTCTACCTCACTCAACCATTATAGTAAATGCACTCAACAAAAATCTCTCATTCAGATCAAAATCAGGGATTGCCAGAGCGAAACAATCGCTTCATAATCAGTTTTGCGAGACAGTATTGGATGGAAAATGGCTTGCAGTACGCAATCTACTAAATCAACAGCACATGTAGTGCAGCTTATGCTGTTGTAGAGAATACCTTGTTTGGATCCAGTTACAGCAATAGATAATGTACTTCTCACCGGCGTGTCACATTTTGTATAAAGGATACCAGTCCATGCCAGATACGAGTTTCAACACAGGGTTCAACACGCTTCAGTCTTGCTAGTATTATGGAAACAGTGCGTTATTGGACGTGTCAGGGGCCTTGAGTTCAGCGAGATTGCATTAGAGTAGCGTAAATTCCTGCATATGATACCAAAGGACCATAGTAGTCGGGATGTGTAAAGATGCTTTCCTATCCAAATTATGTGAGGCATTTTTATAGAACATCTGGTCTTGGATTCTACCTACTGGATGACTCCCTTTTTAAAATTAATCTAGCGTAGATAATAACTGGTATTCCACGACAGCATGTGTCGGGATTATGCGTCTCATTCACTAAGTTGTCCCATACTCATACTCAATTCGTGCTGGGTTTATACAAAATTAGATTCCTTATCCTAGGAATCCTTATTCTAAATAACGTTACCAACAGTATGCGAGGATATTATACAGTATGCTTAGTCGCTCGAAGTAACTATATTCTACGTGAAAGATGTGTTTAATTTTTACTGTTTTTTTCCTTTGGATGAGGAAAATGAGCCTTCATCTTTGCTTCTGCTACAATTTTCTCTTTTTTTACATGATATTCTCCTTTCTTTGGGTGGTGTTCCTTGCAACTTTATAAGGCAAAAAATCTCAGGTGGGAATAGTTTTGGTTCAAGAGCATGAATGAAAATTGAATATTAGTTTCTAAATTAAAAGGCCTTAGTGAGTGTCGTCCTGCTTTCTGTTGATAAATTGTATGTATTTGAAAAGAAGAAAAGTAAAGTAGCGAATCTGTTGTGGCATCGCCGAGGCGATGGAAATCACATCATTCGGATCGACGTTATGAATGATGGTTTAGCAAAATTTGCGTATTAATGATTTTAGTTTAAATCATAATTTCATATAATAATGTAATAAACGTCTTTCATTGCCTCCAGTACTTCAGAAACCGTTATGCGCACGTGCACTTAATACTAGATATTGAATTATATGATCAAGTTGAGATCAGGGTGCTTTCTAAAAAATAATGGTGATATTGCGATTTCCCAGGTGCCATTATATGATACATTAATGTTCTTATAACAAATGCTTGTCTGTTTGTTAAAACAAGATTTGGTTTTCCAAGTGGTTAATTATGCACTCTTGTTACATTTGCTTTCTATTAATAATTCGCTGAGCTACATTTATTCAATTATATTGTTCAACGAAATGAGTGTGAGAATACTGTGATTTAATATTGCTAATAATAATTTTAATGCTGTGCTAATAATAACTTTAATATTTCACAAATGAAGATGTTATTTTATTTATTAATTTATATATATGTAAGATAAAAAATAAATGAATCAAAATTATAATTTAGTCTAAGGGTAACTCTTTAATTCTTCCTCTCGGTTCTGAAAAAAATCGTAATAACTTCTCTCGATTGCGTCATTCCTAGATCATTTTTTTTCATGCCCTGCACAGCGCTGATGACGTAATAATTGTAAACTGAAACTCCAACCAAAGTTTTCTCTTCGTGTGCTTCGTAAATTGTAAACCCAAACCAAAAGTTTTCTCTTCGTGTGCTTCCATCTTGCATAACTACGCACTTCAGCTTCGCTCTTTGCCCTGCTAGAATGTAATTTCTCTGTGTTGCTTGCTATCGCTATAATATCAAAAATGTAAATATTCTTGAATAGTGCCAAGTGAATTGTGGTCACGAATGTCAATTGGAAAATAAAAATAGAATATTTTTAGATACTATGACGTCAACATATTACCATACTATGCAATCAGAATTCTTCTTCTTCAATATGGAGCTAAGTACGCATCAACAGTGTTCTGGCTTTTCCTTACTTTTATTAATCATATATATATATATATTTAATGTAAAGTAAGTCCCTCTAAACTAGAAACTGAGTATTTAGCTGCATGTTTATAATGCTCTGGTTTGTGAATGACATTACTGCAAATTTCAGGGCAGCACGATAACAATAAAACATAAATAAGCAATTCTTTTGAATTCATTTGTATTTGATGAAACTGAAACTGAGGCAGGATAAACGGGTACTTAAATGAATTTATTTGTGAATTTAATTTGTTACGGCTAAGGTGGGATGGCAACAAAGACATCATTCCATATCGGTCGCGCCTAAACAGCTGTTTTTGCATGGACGTTTTAAGCGTAGTTTTGCAGGTCAGTTGAGCTCAACTCTTCCACTCCTGTAGAACAACTAAAATAATATCGAATTTCACAGAGTGATCTATCAAAGAACATCGCCATTAAAATCTCCGAGCTGCGTAGACCATTAGCAAATGATTCATATTTCCACAGCAACACGAAATTGACCAGGTCGTTAAACTAGTGGCACCAAACATTATCTACAATCTCTCCGCATTTGTGACCCGAATGTGATGTACTGCTCAACTGTCGCTCCTCCCAACCAAACAGCCAACTACATCACACTTACATTCCACCCCACAACCTAACGTCGAAACACTCTTCAAGAAACCAGGATCTCAACCGCGGCTCAAACAAGTCTGCTTCCGCAACTTTTACGGCTGTCGATCAAATTTCGAGCATATCAGATTAAGCGTTTGGATGGCGGCTTTATAGCTCCGAATATTCTGACCCCGCAGAATTAACGTAGCTGCAAATCCCTCTCGTCTAGAATAGTTGTTTTGGCCACCAAATTATGCCTATAAATAGTTGAAATGCATTTGTTTCTATAACATTGTCTAAGCTGACCTTTAGGTCCTCTGAGTGGCACGGCCTTTAGGATCTGCGCATGAAGACTCACATTTAAGCACATTTTATTAGCTAAATTTTTATAATTGCCTTATTTAGTCATTGTTTTCATAAACTTCCTTTCATTAAGATGACATGACGTTATTAAAGAAAGCAAGAAGCAAACTATTTTAAATTATAACCTAATATATATCGTAACCGTAAACATCTCAATGAAGTCACATTAAAAATATCTCATTAAGACAGTATTAAACGAAATTGATGTAGTACATAATTCTCCATTTACTTTGCTTTTGTGTCCAAATCCTTATTATCAGTTCAACCTTATTATAATACTTTTCCTTTAATAAATGCTACTATAAGGTCATAAACTTCATAATAAAATGGAAGGATATTAATTTTGTAATCTAATGTCCTTACGCTTTGTTAGAAATTTATCAAATTTGATAAAAAAATGTCATAAAGTCAAGCTTGAAATATTTCAATAATTTTAAATTTGTGTGTTGAAAGAGCTCAACTTTGATAAATATTGCATTTTTTTTTTGTTATTCTGTAAGGGTATTTATAGAACTTTACCAAATATTCTAAAAAATAATAACCCTTTCCTTTTATAACGAAATAATACATCTCAATTCGCAAAGAGTAATTCACAATGGTATAAAAAAGCTAGAATAAAAGTAGGTGTAGCTAGAGTATGATGTCCTAGCTTCTTTTGCGGAATACAAATTTAGTTCCTTGACATTTTTAAATTATGTTCTTAAAAGCAAAATTAAAACTCATTTTTATTCTAAATTAACAGCATATAACAGTTTAGTTCTGTCAATATTAACTTTCTAAGTAATACTCGTATCTTGAATGTGAGGTCTTCTAGCAAAATGTTATACAAAGCTGCGTCCAGTTCAAAGACTTCAATCTAGTGTATGTGAAGAGGAATTGCATATCTTTAGCCTGGAAATGGTGGAATGGTCTTTTTATGGAGGCCATAATTCAGAGTAGCTAAAACAACATACATTTCCACAAGCGTCACCTGTCAGTGAACATTGCCGTACGTAACTCTAAATTGCGCAGACTCGTAGCAACTAGTCCGCATTACCAAATAATTATAGATTGCCACACTAGACCTACCAGGTCCCAAACCTAGCGGCATCAAGCAACATCTACAGTATAGGTGGACAAATACTTTTATCTACTGGCTAAAAAAGTCTTTTTTAGTGAATCATGCAGGCAGGGCTGTGATTTCTACTGGTTATCAGATGACTGACATGTGTACCTTTTCATTCTCAAATAAAAATTTAGGGGTGAAATGTTATTTCTTTAAGCTCCATTTTCTGGTGAGTCTTATCATCTCAACAATATTCATGCTTCATTGTTTAATTTCTAAATTAAAGTTTCTAGAAAAGATAGGACAATATTCTTCGGCCGATGCACATGCTCTCTAGCATAACTAGTATCCTCAATTTAGGTTGATCGCTGGTACAGTCCGTGCACATTTTGTATGTGCTCATTTCAGTTGTTTGCATACAAAATTCGGTAGGAAGGAGATAAAAATGTCGTTGCGAGTTTCATAACGACCTGGAATAACAATTAGGCTGCATTCGGTCGGCGGGTCCACTTTTGCCATCCCTGCAAACTCTCTGACAGGATCTCTGCAATTCTTATAATTCTAAGCATCTTATACAAAGTATAAGTTAACAGCCAGTCGTTTAGTCGAGAAGTTAGAGTGGCTCTACATATATGTTCTTACAAATAAAATATTAAAAGTTACCTTAACTCTCATAAGTAAAAAATGATGGATGCTCCTTTGTGGGAGTTTCCTAAGATTTTAGTTTTACGTGGTTTGTGGAAATTCTCTATAACGAAACTAAATATAATACTAAATATAATATAATACATAGCGCTTTGAAAGTATGCAAAAGATAATGAATTCTCTTTTATGGAGGTAGCTTGTTACTCAAAGCTAAATTCCGCATTGAAATGGAGAAATGAAACAATGTAAAAAAGGTATATTTGAAAATGTGGTTTAACTGAAATAGTATACTTTTCTTAATCATTTATATTTGCGCGATCTTTATCTTTTCATACACTGTAGGTTTACCTATCTATCATTTATTAACACTACTAATTTTTCAATTTTATTATTTGTAAGATTATTATTAAAGACGTTCATTCATATAATTTAAATTTTCAAAAGTAGTAATAGTCATGAAATCATTATTTTTAAACTATCACTCAACTGCTTTTACAGTAACCTCGTCTGTTTTTTATTCAGGTTTTACAAAACATGGTTCATTGTGCGGATCTAAGTAATCCTACGAAGCCATTAGAAATCTATAAGCGTTGGGTTGACCTTATAATGGAAGAATTTTTCCAGCAAGGTGACAAAGAAAGAAATCAAGGAATGGATATCAGTCCTATGTGTGATAGGCACACAGCCACGATTGAAAAATCACAGGTTAGTAATCAGCATTTGTTTATTAATCAGTATAATTGGTATTAATTCAGGTTTATGATTTTTGGAAATCTTTCTTCATTCATTTGATTTAGGGATATTAGTCCTCATATTTGTCAAATATGTGTGTATGTGTGTTTTAGATTAATTCATTGTAGTTAGTTTCGTTTTACTATGGGTTGTCATCTATCTGGACCCTATACTTTGTGAGTATTTTTAAACCAATGTTTGCACATTTCATAGAAAAAATTTTTAAATTGGACACATTCTGCTCGTGATGATATGTATTTTTAAGAATACGTACATAAAGTGTTAAACCTTTAAATATCTAACCAAAACAGACATCAATTCAAAAAGAGTTTTATATATCAAAGAAAATAACAGTTTCCTTAATTTAAGCTTAAAATTATGGAATGTAAAATCTTAGCTTCAAGGACACTGTTCTTTTCGAAATGTATTATTGCTTGGACGAACATGTTAAGAAATTCTATTAAACCATTTTCTTAATCATTAAATGATATTCTGCTACATTTAAAAGGTAACATCTTTCTACATAAAATGTTATCCTATTATAACTGCATGGTTCTATTTTGTCACAGTAGATTAGAGTTTGAATTTTAACCATTTTACCATCGGTGAACTTGAGCTTGCTAACAGCTTTAATTTGTTTTTAAAATCATTAGTAACTATTTTAAAATTATTGGCATAATTGATTGAACCCTCTGAAATCTTTATTACTACATAACATAACTATTCACTTTATCATTAACAAACGCAATGAATTTTGATTTAACAAACATTTTCTGTATAGCTTGGTACGGGTAATATATATTTTAAATTCAGGAATCTGTGTTTTTAACGTTTATATCGATTTTATGCATAAATATTGCCTTGCTTGCTTTTCCAGGTCGGTTTCATAGATTATATCGTTCATCCGCTTTGGGAAACTTGGGGTGATCTTGTACATCCAGATGCCCAGGACATATTGGATACACTTGAAGAGAATAGGGACTGGTACCAAAACATGATTCCCATCAGTCCATCAAGCAGTCGCCAGAATGTATCGGAAGATTCTCCTCCAAGCTCAGGAAAAGAGCGCATCAAGTTCCAGGTGACGTTGGAAGAACCAGAGTTGGAAGATTTTGAAGAGGAGTCTGGAGAATTGCTATAAAGTCGTCCAACGCTGGAATAAGTTCTCCACTCTTACCTCTGGAAAGAAGATCACTTCTTCAAACTGGAGAAGACCCGTCCCGAGGACAGATCATTTTTTTAACAAAGTATTCAATTTACTTATTGTATTCTGTCAATGGAAATGGGAGAAGCTTGACTACAAATGAAACATAAGCTTCCTATACCACGGTGAGGAAAATTATTAAGTCGACGATTATTGTTATTACTATTTTATCATTTTTTCAATTATATGTCGTACAGTACCTGTTGGAATTCAGCTCAAAAGGTTCTTCTTTGGACATTCATCAAAATTTAGAAAAGATGAGACTGAATGCAAAGCAGTAACGTACGACAAACAATTTTCAGCAGCTAACAGTGATGATCTCAAAAGGACAGTAAGCTGCAACAAGTGACTAAATGTGAAATCGATTTCATCTTTGCTCTTTATTCTTCTTTTATCATTCAACCAGTATGAGCACATTTTGCTGCATGTTGATGGGCTAATTAGGTTATAAAGCTGTATTTCTAGAATACCTGACAGCAACTTTTGTGCAAGTTTCCATTTACGGTTTTAAGCCGAAGAAGCCTTTTTTTTCCGATTGTTATATAATTATATAATTGAACGTGTGGAGGCTTGTAGTTTAAGATAACCCTGCACGATGGTTTTCCTGCAATATCTCTTTCAAAGAATAATCATATTCCAGCCAATTTATAACTTTCAATTTGCTCCTTAATCTAGTTTTTTTTCTAGGTCTGAATTCTTGTCATGTTTTTGCCGTCCATAAATTGATTTATTGAAAACAAATTAAGCAACCCGTTCCTGAACAAAACTCTTTAAAGTGTATCTGACATAATCCGAAAAAAATTCTTTCTATCGTTGAATAAAAGACATATTTTTTTAATAAAAATAAAAATTATTTTAGTATTTCAGGAGTGGGAAAATTAATTTAAGGATGGCAAAAATATTTAGAGCGTTTATCAAACGTGGTATTATAAAGCCTAGCTATGTTTCATGCTGTACAGACTAGTCAGGCGTATATTTTGTCACAAATGGTTGTTCTATGTTTTTCAATTCACCACGTTTCTAGAAAACTAAGCATATCATGGAATTTTTGTAAGCCAATAGAATGTTTGTGGTCTCTAGTCAAATAAAACTTTCTGGGCTCCAAATACTCGCTCGCGTTAAAAATCTCTGTACGAGATTTCTTACCGGCTCGCGAGAGGAAGCTCTGAGAAGTTTTGAAGTTGCTTTCCATTAAGGATACTCTATCATCTGTGCAGATTAAGATATTTTCCCTTCGAACTCTCAAATATATTCAGATTTTCGAGCCTGGATTTTACTTCATTTTTGAGTGATATTCTCCGTTTCGAATCTGTTGATTTTATGCTAACTAAATCGCACACGCATGTAAGGATCGACAGCTTTATGGTTCGCGATGTTCTTTCATATTTACCACTCATCTGATACTTGTGTTAGTTTTTCACGTTAGTTCGTTGTTCCAATCAAAGTACAAGCCAAAGAAGTTGCTATGTATAATAACACTAATTGCGTGTATATAAATCTTTTATTTTATTTTCTTTCTTTTTTCGTTTCCTTCTTCAGTGGGAATCTTAGCACCACGCAATGCTGTAATCAAGAGAGATTTAAGTCGTGGAAAGGTGCGGGCATCCTTCGAGGCAGCATCTGTATATAGACTTGTGATATGGAATTTCTTGAGGTAGCTTCGGTATAGCGATGTTTGCGCTGCTCCACGACTAAAACGCTTCTCTTCCCTGACAATGCCTTAGAGGAAACCCGCATCTGTTGGCGTACAAAACACGCTTTGCTGTGCTAGACTATTCTGTGTTAGAGAAGAGATAGTATTTATTTATCCAAGTGTTACGCTTCATGCGAATCTTTAGCTTTATCTATGTATGCACTGTAGTTCTAGTACCAAAGGATAAATCGAAATTTCTTTCCGAGATGAGCTCTTGATATCATAGATATTCAATTGAAACTTCTGAAAATTTTTACTTGATGTTCTATAAACAAGATGAATGCATTCATTCCGATAAACCTAACGTTTATATGTGCTTTTAAAAGGCTTTTGCAGCAATGGAAACTGAATGTAACAAACAAACAATTCCCCCCTCCCCCCCAAAAAAGGAAGGAATCCTCAATGGTATTCTTTTTGTTCCTGAACTTCTGTATTAACGGTTCTTGAAATTAATAGTCGGTCAAGGCAAACTTATAAACAATTTGTGAGGTCATAAAAATTAGCTTCATGTCCAAGATATAAGTTATTTTTAATCAAAATTGGAAAATTCTTACATTTAAAAAATGATTTGACTATTTCTTTGTAACCGGGTTTAACGTATTCATGAATCTTCACTGACGCATAAAATCTTCACTGACGTAATGATTAAAAACGACAGCATAAAATATTTCTGTTCATTTTCCAAAACTGTTCCCCTTGTGGGACTACAATTTTAGAATAAAAATATTTCTTTTAAATCCTTCGTAAGGATGGTCATCTGATTTTGTTTTGCGTTTTAATCCCAGCTGACACATTATTCTGTAGAATCCTATTTTGGATTTGATTTCAGTGAGAAATGTCGTTGAGTTCTGAAATCGATAAAACTCTAATTTTAGAAATATTCCACTTTATCAAAATTATACACTACATGAAAATAACACAAATTCTAAGAGCGCTTTCCTAAAACTTTAAAACGTTCATGAACTTTAGTCAGAATGTTGTTTATAAATAATTTATCGGTACTTAACAATTGACATACATCTTTATTTTCGAGGTTTTTAGAATATGAAGCTTGATATAAATTTGTAAGGTTTAAAATCTTTTATTAAATTAAAGTATAAATTTTTGCTAATTTATGGCCTCATTATTTTGGCATAATTAATTAGATTCTTTTGATTACTTAACTAATGCAATATCAGTTTGTCTATTTGGATACAGAAACTTTGTTCCTCTTTGCTTTTCTGAAAGCATGAAATTATATTTAGTTTTCATCAGCTGCAGGCATTTTATTACATATCTTATTATGCAATGTATGTTTTATTTCAGAATAAAATGTGCGAAAATAATTTGTAATGAAATTGTATCGGTGGTTTTGGAAAATTTTTGCCAAATTGCATAGTTTAATATTTTAGGCATATGTATAGGGCTTCTTATAGTGAAAGTGAATTTTTCTTCTGCATTGTGCTGTGAATTTTCTGTGAAAATTTTACAATTTGTTCTCGAGTGCCAAATTTGGCGCTGTCGCCAAATCTCCGCCAACGCTTCAAATAAAAAGCTAATAAATGTGCTAAGTGAGTATCTAGACGGAATGCCGCCCGAAAACTTCAAGCAGACCCAATTTTTATTCAAGTTCTTTAAGCAGGTAATACATCTCGACGTGATTCTTTTTGAATTCATTGTAAAATAAAAAATGCATTTAATTCAAGGATTTTGTGTTTATTTATTTTTTATGCAAATTTAATTTTAGGAAAATTAGGAATTACTTTGCATGTTTGTTATTCATATTTAAACAAAAATGAGACTTTGGATTTTTCAAATTTCAAAAACAATCAGATTTACTTAAATTAAAAGCTACATTTGAACATATGTATTTAGAACCTAGAATCTTCTAGTGCAATCGTTAGTTAGTCCAAGGACACTTTTTTGAAAATATAATTATAATTGTAATACACGCTGGCATATTTTAGTATATAATTCATTCGAACATCAATAACAATGGCCTATATTTATCAAACACATTTATTTTGTTAATTGCGTTTCTAGCAAAACGGTTTTTTACTTAAGTGCTTATCGTTTCAAACCAGCATTAAAAGCTGCTTTGGCAAAATTTGGTCATAGTCAAAAACAACATTTCTCACTTTTTAATCAAATAATTACAAACAATAAAGCACTTTTAACAATATCCAATTAGTAAAGCAAGAAACTTGTGTCTGGTGTTTAATCAACTAGTGTTTGGGAGACTAACTGGCTCCACCATTCAAGGAGAAGGTACTACCGGGTGTATTTAGTCAAGATCTCAATCGATTTCGAGAGCAACAGGTGCAGGTCCCTCTTCACCAGAAGCAAAGAAATCTTCAAGACAAGAAAGTAGCATTGATACTATTGTTATTATTCTGGCATGCAGCGGGGAATTCCTATCCCTGCTCTTTCCAGATTCCTGAGTGAATCCCTAATAGGGCCTGACGTCTGATAAAGTCCGTAAATAGTATTTTCCAAATGAGGTATAAGCTGAAGAAAAACTTTGAAGCCCACTGCTTCCTGCGAGAAATGCCAAGACTGTATGGAGCTGTAGAAGGTGCTGTTATCAGGCACTGTTTAGCTGGTCACGTAGTCTAAAGCAGCGAATCTAATGTCATCAGGGGAGTGGCTTGCCAACTACAGCGCTAATTTAAAAGATACTAAACTATTTACACGGTGAAGAAATGTTCTTTTAAGAAAGCAATGAAATGGCTGTTAATTTGGCCGTTAATGTTCCGGCTACTGGGGGTCGGAGATAGTCTGGCTGGCATGTAAAGTCCAGTATGTGAAAAATCATAATAAAAGAATAAACAGTCTTAAAATTATTTGGTGTGTCCGTAGTCGAGAGAATGACCCCCTTAAAATGTTCGTAAAAATACGAACAGCTCATCTAAAACACTGTTGGGTCAGTTGCGATGCATTAATTAACGAAAAAAGATTTTATTAAATCCGACGACCATAGGCGCTATCTTGACTCTCATTGGCTGGTCTGATTTGTTTGTAGTAGGTGGGCGGCGAATTGGGGTAGAAGCCTTCGCTCAGAATTTCGTAGAATAGCACGTCAGCGAAGTTCGTTGAGTTGCTTATGAAAGCTCTTGAGAAGAAATTTTCATTAATCCTATTGATGAAATCCTGAATTGGTTCAAGTTTCAGCTCGAAATGAAGACTTTTATTTCGGACGTAATATGAGGCACCAATGATTGTCGAAGAAACTTATTTTGCATTACCTGAATTTTCTTAATATCCTTATCTGTGACATTGACCGAGGCAGGCAAGGCATAGATCAGAATCGGTCGGATGACCAAAAGATAGTATTTTTTTAGGTTCAGTGATAGATTATCCCTCTTTAAAAGTGGAAAAAAGTTTAACGTGATCCTGTAGGCTTTCCCGCAGGCCTGGGTCACATGATCTTTCCGGGCGAAACGGTCGGATTTATACCCTATGGCAATAAAGCGAACGAGAAGGTATCACCATCTGCCGACAAAAATAGTAACGAAATTGAAAAATTAAGTTAATAAAATATTAAATGCGTTAGGAAAACTGGGCTGGACTTAAAGTAATTAACTAAACAAGATAAATCTTTGTGAATGTGAAATTTTGTGAAACGCGCCAAAAAATCCAATTGACCAATTGAAGAAATTTTTTGAATAATTTTTGCAGCCCCAAAGTCAAAACAATTCAAATTTCCAACTATGATTAGCTATCGAAGACATGTTAATAATGTTTGATAATAACTTTTAATAATGTTTTAAATTTACCATATTGTTTACGATATCCTAATTGCAGTAGGAAATGTTTCAAGAGATATCTTTCAGTAAAGTCTTAAATTAGAATGAGTTATCTTACTTGAATTTTTAAAAGTTATATGTGAGCAAATTATATACACATAAGTCACCTTTCAAAGAAAGCGATTTTAAATAGTACTTTGTATTTGCATGCTTAAAGATAACTGGAAGTATTCTTTTTCTTTGGATTATTGGTTGGTTGGTTTTGATTATGGCAAAGAACTCCAGGGCTATGTGTCTAATGGAAGGGATGCCTCCGTAGATGACTTTCTAAGGGAAACTGGCTTGTATACACTCTTTTACCCTAGAATCGTTTTACGTGTGTGTACACTTCAGTATGTATACATACCTTATTGTTTGTTAAACACATCAGCTATTTTGCACATTGATCAGTATAATTTCTTGTTTTCGTTTTAAATTGAGCATTTTGTTTCGCATTATTTTTACATCGGTTTGTATGTTTTCTTTTATGACACTAAAAATCACTGAAAAGGATAAAAAGGCTTTTATAATTAAGGTAGCTAAAGTTTTCCTAAGTTTATGCTTTGATTACACTCCATAATAAAAGCTATAACCGTGAGCTTATAGACACTACCGTACAATATTTAATTAATCTCACATTATTTGCTTAATATGAATGTTCTTGTCAAAAATGAAATTAGTTCTAACATTTATTTTATTGCAGTAAACTGCCTGTTTTCAGATTACTGTTTACAACAGAAAATGAGAAAATAGCTGTATCCTATGTTCTATAATGTAAGTCTTAAGTTTACAAATGTCACAAATAAAATCTAAAATATGAATAGTAAGTGAGAAAGAGTCATGTCGAAAAGACCAACACACGTCTCAATAAACTGTTTCAAAGGAAGTGTAATACATTTGAAGAAATACATGTAAATGTGTAGAGAAAAGTAAATAAATCTAATAATTAATAAAATGGGGAAAATGCATTGTTTCAATATTCTGAATGTTAGCTGTGCATCTCATAATTAAGGAGTATAATGTGCAATCATACTCTCTTAAGATTCTTCGTATCTGCAGCATTTCTTTACTTTTGCCGATGTGAACAATCTTTCTAAATTACAAAATCTAGATCTATAGGTTATTTCAAAATTTCAAAATTTTTTAATTAACATAAAAATTTATCAAAGAAATGAAAGATTTCTGAATTAGAGATGTATTGATAATACATCTGTCTTAATGTATTTCTTAAACTGAAGTAGCAAGTGATGAATTCTGCTATTTTCTATCAAATTATAGATCCTGTGTGATCAACGGTGTAATAAAATAATTATAACTAATGTAGAAATTAAAGATGCAATTTAAAAAGAGCTGTTGATTAGATAGTTATGGCCCTGTCAGGTGTATATAAAAAATTTATGAATATTATATCCAACGTCGATTTATTATACATGTAATGCTATGTGTTCGATACTACGAGTTTAATGTGTAAGGATAAATTGACTAAACGTGAGACTGTGCACTTATGCAGCTACTGGTTTGAACCATATTCTCCTATTTTAATATTATAAGAATTTGATTTGCATGACATTCAGAGACAAACCTATCGTAAGAACAACAACATAAGTAACAAAAATTTAATATCTGTGTTTTTACAGGATTTTAAATTGAAACAACATAAGTATAATCTTATAAATTTCAGGTGCCTGGTCTACTATTAAAAATATTTTACTTTTATTACAGTATCTCAAAGGAGGGAAGTCGATTTGAAAAACGATTTAAAATAATAGTTCACATTTTTATAAATTATTTTTAAAGAAGGGAATTTCTCTTTGAAATTGCTCCAAAAAATTACATTCTTAAGTACAAATAATGCTTGTATTCAAATGTAAATCAAAATGCTTCTTGCAAAGTAACATTGTTGTTATATAAGTAAATTTCAAATGTACCAAAATTTTAACAAAATATCGAGCCCAATTATTGCCAAAAATATCCTTCTATTAAATTATAATTGTAAAATTTAAAAACTTGTTGCAATTTTCATTTTTTTTAAATTACGATTTACTGGCATAATTAAGTAATAGAATGGGGAAAGCCTATGAATAAACATACGAATAAATGAAACCAGAATGTTGAAAATATGACGTCATTTTTTTCCTTCAACTTTATGAAATATAAATTGAAAACTTTCCCCTTCACAGTAAATTAGTTAGGCGAACTTCACTGAGTGATATAGAGAAATAGTAAGAAAATAACTGTTATGTAAAAATAAGGAGTTATACAGATACATTATGTTATTACAGAAAAAGGGGGAAATTTTTATCTGTTCAAGAACCGCGCATCATTTGCGGCTAAATTCCTCATATGTTGCATATGAAATACATACAGTTTGTGTCTAAGAATCATTCACATAGAAATAATGTTTTGATCAATATGCCACTTTTAACAGGCAATGAGAAGCAAAATGCAAATTAGCGATTGAAGTTGAATTCTCAAAATCCATTAATTGATTAAAAATAAGTCCAGAATCATTACATGTTAATGGAACTCATAGCTGCTTCTAGTGGTGTGCTCAAGAGCATTCGTCCGTCTGTATGGCACAAAATCTGCCCTACAGAACTTGATGAAAGGTGTTCTATTGGGCTACTGCAAATAAAATGGCCGTTGAATAACGTCAGCTTTCTACAAGTTGCGGAAGAAGTATATTTTTTATGTCGTGTGAGCACACCACTTTTAGGTAATGCGAGTGTAGTATTGGCTTCGTTCAATGAGCATCAAATATTGAAGATCATCGCCATAAAGATCATCGTCAGTCAACGAACCAGTAAATTAAGGCTACTATACCTTTATGAGTTCATACTGGGAAATTTTGCAGCAGCTGCAGTGAAGAATATCAGTTAAGCATTTGGCTGGTAGGGAGATAGGTATGTAAATAGGTGACGGAATGCGGGGACACCTGGTTGCTACGGTAAGTAGGTATGAATGCTAAGGGAACCGGTCCGCTTGGTCGACTTAACTATCGTATGACCTTAAAGTGGCACCCTAGTGGTAAGCATGGAGTTGAAAGCCCTGTATGGAAGCCATATTGCTTTGAGTTTCGAATGTTCTTATGTTGCAAATGGTGGTTTAACCATTGAAGGTTTCCATAGGTTTTACTTCAAGACTGAGAACTGATAGATGGGGCGAAGAAACATAAGATTCTGAAGATCCTTATGTTTCTTAAGAAGACAATATTTTGGATTTTAGTTGAAACAATAGAAAAAACAGCCTGAGCAAGAGTTGTAAGCCATTCTAATCACACTGTGTAATCTATCTGATTTAAGCAGAGTGTAAAATACTTAGCCGAATTTTCTTTATAGAATGGCAGTGGAGATGTCTTCTTTGAGAGTTCTCTGAAAATGTTCGTTACTATCTGGATCATTCATTGAAAATACTTTGCTAAGAACAATATTAGCTGTGGTGAATTTTAAGCATTAGGTGGAAAGGCAACTAATGAGGAATCATTTCGACGTTATTTAGCAAATTTTCTCTCATATTTGAGGCTACAGAACAAACCACATGACCATAGTACTTCCAAAATTGATTCGAATGAATAAAACATTTAGTTGAATTCGATCCTTACGAGAGATTTCCCAGATTTTAATTGTACCCTTTTCAACTATTTCGCAGCATTTAGGAAATAAGTAAAAATGCAAGAAAGCTCGTCAAGAAGGAACTGTTTGAATTCATTGAGGAAAAGAGAGCTCTGTATTTAGAAATGTACCTGTTTCTCTTAGCTACAGAAAAAACGTTTCTGCAACGAATATTTTTATTGCAGATGAGAAGGTGATATTCTACGAGAATATTCACGCTCATCACAATGATTAGGAATTAAAACGTTCTAGGAAAGCCGTCAAAGACATCTTTGCGTGCAAAGAAGCAAATGTTTACTGTATGGTGGTCTGAGGCTTACGTTATTCCATACACATTCCTAACACGATGTGAAACAGTAAATGCAGCTCGATATTTTACACATATGCAAGAAATGTATGACAAACTATGCCATAACAACCCACCACTTGTGAACAGCCATACAGATTTATTGCTTCCGAATAACTCCGGTTCGCAACCATACAATAAATGCACAATTTAAGATACGAAATTGTGACTCATACAATAGTCATCTTGTTATTCTTCCAGCATATGAGCCTTTTATTTATCAATAAAGTGCTCTTTCAATGATGCATCTATTTGTTGAGACACACATTCTTACAAATTTAGTGTAAAAGACATTATCACATATTAACAGCAATGGATTTATGCTACTGGAAATTACTTCGATTAGACAAGTATTTTCTTTCTGCACTCTTCTGTTTTGATTGTCCTTAAAATTATCTATTTCATTTGCAATTATTTGCAACAACCTAATGCAATTCAGCAAGATCATACACATTTCGGCTGGCTGTAACAGGCTTTGTAACGTGTCCAATATGTGTTTATTTTGAGGAAGGTAAGGGAGTTCAGTACGCAAGGGAGTTTATGATACTAATTTGTCATTTCATGGAGACGGTTGTTATGTAGTGTGCAAAACATCTTGCAGGGCTTTGACAAGTAACGCCACAGGTCATAGGAAGTCTTCGAAGTCTCGTTAGGCTGTTTGAGTGCTGAGGAGAATAAGGAAGTTGATATGATATTGAAAACCATGCCTCTAATAATGCGTAATGAGATAAACGTGTGCCGTTTCACAAATTTGTCAAAATCAGAGTTGGTCAAACCGAAATCCCGATCATCTGAACCAGAAAAATTAATCGTTAAACACGATATGACTCTAATCGAAAAATATTCAAGCTTCGAGACCGTGATAACAGAGTAACCTTTCTTGTCGACGTCGAAATGAACGCAGAGTTTCTACCAGCCTTCTTGCATCCGCACTTAGTGAATCTAAGTATCTACAACCAGCGAGTAAATCTTTCTTAATGACAGACAGAGAAGCTGTTGATGCAGTTATGACAACTTTCATTATCGCAGAATTCGTTTGAGAAATGTTCATGATAAGTTTGTCGCTGCCCTCATCGCGTCTATGAGCATCCTTTTGGAACTTTGGATAATAGCATCGTCCGGCTGTGTTATCGATCCGATTCTCGTGCAGAAAATGAATCAGTAGCATCCGCCTGCTCTCCTGAAGACACTGACGTCTCTATCGAACTCTCTCAGAAAGTCTTATATTCGTCGGGTGAGGTTTCTTAAATATCCTCATTTGCTAATGCAAAAAAACTGCAACATATCCAGGCCAAATTGAAACAGCCATTGAGAAATGTACCTTTATATGTATATTAAAATGCGCATTTTCTGTGATTTTTAAATCGATCTGTGCAATAATTGGCTTTGCATTGCTATCATTTTATAGCTGGCTAAAAAGTATTTGAATGCTATATGCTTAGAGATTGGTGCACTAAGATCTAAGCGCAGGGATATTTTGAGAGAGTGCACTAAAAAAGAAGTTAATTCTTTTTTTCTAAATTACTTTTTTCGAGGTAAATATTTCGTCAGTTTAGAATATGTATTGGGAACAGAGAATGAAATGATACTATGGTCATCCAAAATATGTTATTAACTTCTTCCTTTTTTGGGAAACATATGGCTATTTATAAATTTCTTAATTCTCATAGGAGAAGTTTATGTTAGGTTAGTTTAGGTTATTTGAATATGGCAACATACAAAAAGACTGTCTGCGAAAGATGAGGACGCACTAAGAGAAACTGTCTTGTGTTCTCGTTATACGTGGGAAGAAACCACGAAAATGAACCATACAGCCCTTCCATTCGCCTGAGTTCGAGCCGGAATTAAATGTGTTTTGTCTACAAAGCAAGTAAATCATTGACTTTCAAATAAACATCTGGATGCATATTTGTACATTGTTTTTCATTTGCTGATCCTGAAATAAGAACAAATCATTGGAAAGTAATCTGATGATTTTCAGGTGGTACTTGCTTTGTATGAAAGCTTGAATAAATACTAAGAGCATTTTCAGTTGCCATTTGTAATGTCATGTGTCTTATGAAACAACTACCAATATGGTTATGGCAAGCTGACATGAATTATAAGATTTTGAATGCAGGATGATAGTTGGAGTCCAAAGAATCACGCATTTTGGTTCTGAAATTTTCGGTCATTCAGCGTTCATAAATCTATCCAACGTGATTGCGTATAATGAGAGTACGTCATGGACTCACAGTTTACGACCACGGGCACTTAAAAGCTGCGAGTAGCAAAGTCTGACATACGTGTTAACAGATAAGTGACACTGAGTGAAACAACTCACATACTGAATGTAAGAGACATAACGGGCATATCAATAAGATTAGAGCAACGAAATTTAGCGTTAATGATATATGACAGCAGAAGCCTCATTGAGAGGACACATGCTTATAAACGTATCACTGGGCACAGATTTCCACTTGGGATATTATAAACATTAAGGGGTTGCTAGAGAACTAAAGAAAATAGCTTGTGTCTCTGAGTCACTTGACACTAGTCGTTACCAATGGTAGTTTTCGGTTGAAGATCCCTGATGAAATGAATCCAAGCTATCAATAATGATCTTTGTAAGCTAGTGGTAGCTTCTAATGAGGTCAGTTAAAATTCCGTAGCATGGATTTGGTAGTATGGTCTTTTTAGATAAGTCATTTAATAGGAAACAAAATAGAAAAGTGCTTAGTAATCATTTTACAACCTTCACGAAAGAATACAATTTTCCAAAACGATAATGTGGCACTAGATAGGATTGTTTAAGATTGGTTTGAGAAACTTTCCGGATAATGAAAACGAACATTTTTGTCACCATATGAACTAAGTTGAACAACTATGAGATATGAAAAAAAGATACAGTCACGAACAAGACCTAGCATCCGCGACAACCAGGAAGTTGCGGGGGATTATTCAGAAAACATGGTTCATTATCTTTTCTAAAAGCTTCGTCCGATTTATACAGGCCATCCTACGTCAAACTGTATTTTACCAGGCTGGAGAGAGACCTGCATGATAATAATTAAGTATCGTATGATCATGGGAATTTCAGGGTATCTAAACGTGGTTAAAATCACATTGCACGGTTTTAATTATTATAAGATAAGCTTATTCAATACAAGAATAAATTAAAATAACTTAGTTTTTTCTTTCATTAACGAAGAGTTTCAAACTGAAATCTTTACATCGACAAGAGAAAAATAAAGCAGAAAAAAGATAAACGCAATTAGGCAAATGAAATAACTATTTTGAGATTTGAGATTTGTTAACGCAGTGTGAATGAATTGAAATGCATCCCAGTCTGTTAGATTTTATATACAATTTTAAATTAAAAGAAATTCAGAACTTGCGAAAAAGGTATGTTCAGTGTAAGAATATGGTCTCTATTTCAAGTCATGAAACTATGCTGGATAGGATTCATAAAAGTGAACACCATCTTAGGAAATATATTTATTGTAACAAGAGAGCAAATGGGAATGGAGCGTTCAAACACCAAACACACAAGCAGACAGACAATGAGAAAGCGCTTTGTTGTATGCGAAGATACTTGAAACATAACCACAAAAGTGCAACATCTGAGATGCAAGCGAATAAGATTACAATTTTGAGCAATAATTCGAGACCGTTTCTCGATTAATTTCCTTCGCTTTGCTCAATATTCCCACGTAGCCACTTGTACGTTCCGTTAGAAAATTGCAGTCATTAAAAAAATACTTTTTCCCAGTCCTTGAGAGAGCAAACCTAAATTTGCTCTTTTGCGATCAAAACAGAAGGCCGCCATCATCGTGGCTGATTGTAAGTCGGCGAGATAAAAACCTCATAAATAAAATAAATCATTTCGCAAGATCACAGAAACACAGGATCACTCTTTCGTGAAGGCCTCCCATTCGGACACGTCAGCGGAAGAGCTCTGTTGCACATTCCTGGGACTTTCTGGAGGTCGTCTGAGAAGCACCGTGGTCTCGCTGCTGGAATCATCACTGAAGGAAAGAAGGGGGGGGAGGAAGGAGGAAGCGGTAAGGTTACTCGTCTACTTAAGCAGTGAAAGGAAGGATTAAATGACAAAATTATTAGAAATACGCTGGATGAGAAAAATTTCTCATACTGAGAATTAAAATATCAGTTACTTTACCTGGGATCATCTTCGACGATCGCCTCCTGTCGGCGAAGACATGGATGCTCTTCGCACGATCGTGTGATATCTTCCTCTGATTCAAATCTGTAAATTACAAACATATTGCTAGAGTATCGCTTTTAATTATTAAAGAAAAAAAGGTTTTTGGTTCCTTATTTTCTTTAAATAGGTCATAAAAACGTCAAATTTGTGTTAAATCTGTATAATACGCTATATTTTACTCATTTGTCAGTTTTTCAGTTTACTGCAATTTCTTAATTTCCATATATAACATACGTATATTATTTTACTATCAATGTTTAAAAAAAAGTTCTCTCCAACTCGCTAGATGAAGAAACACTGAAAATGAAAATTAGTTGTTTTCTTCTTGTCTCAGTTAAATTCATTTCGCTTCATAAAGATATAATCGAAAAATTGATCCATGTTAAATGAGAAATCAAATTTAGAAAAAGAAAGAGGAGTTTAGTGACTGTGTTCTTGAATGGAAGAGGGAAGAGGAAAATGGATTTTAGAAATTAAATTCAAATTAAATGCTATCATTCAGTGTCTTATTATCATGACGATACCTTTTGTGAGTTTTCTGCAAGCTTAAAAAAGCTACTAGTGTTAAACTTTATGACGTATGATTAAAATATCAAACATTTCGGAATTAAAATCAATAATCAGAGCTATACCTGATTTGATAGCTTTAAGATTAAATTTTGATTAAACCTTTCAGAATATTAAAAATTACATAATGTAGTAAATTTTATACGATTTATGTTCAGCGCTCCTTCATTATAACTTGGAATATGAATTAGAATTAAACTCGTCTAATAAAACCACCTGAGTAAAAAGTTAATTAAAAATGAAAGAATCGCAATCGTAAAGAACAAACATTAACACAGCTCAAAGAAAATTATATAATATGAGTTTATAAACCAAATTTTAAAAACTACTTTATGAGTTTAAATCAACATCGTTCAAGTCACATAGAAGAAGTTATATTAAGAGCCATAAAAACACTTCTCTCGTTACATCAAGTCATCTTGCTTACAGACATAAATAACGGAAATGGCGTTATAATTAAAATTGTTGTAGAATGGATATGCTTCAGAAATGGAATTATAACAAGCCATGTTTCAGAAATGGAATTATAATTAAAACTGTTGTATAACGGAAATGGCGTCCAGCTGCAGCTAATGGCATGCAGAACATGTTCTCATAAATAATAGTAATGTTCATAGATTCATCTCTTCTTAAAAAAGAAGCAACATTTCCATCATAAAATTCTCTTTTATTTAGTAATACAATAATAATTTAGATTTCTTATAATATTTAATTTATATTTACCCGAGTTTAACGATTTACGACACTACTGCTTTGACTAGACCAAATATATTGTTGAAGAGAATAATAGAATGATAGAATAATAGAATGAAGAATAATAAATATGATGCTGCGATTTTGTTACGGAAAATCTTTCACATATTTATTATACCGTTTTGCAACACAGAGCGGAAACATAATAAATGCAATACTATATATATAGGAATTTTAAACTCAGAAAAAATATTTTTTAACTAATTTTTTAAAAAGAACTTAAATTATTGAAACAAATTAATTTAAATTTAAATTTTTTTAAGTTTAAAAATGTTTTTAAATTAATAGTTGTATATTATTTTTTATGTCAATATAAACTAATATTAATGATTTATACGAGAAAAAGGAGCTTTGAAGAATTCGGGGAATAGGGAGAAGAAAAAGTTTTGAAAAGGCATAAGATAGTAATAGTAAGTTCTTCACCTATTTGGGGTATAATAGAATTATGCGTCTGTAGTTTGAAATTCTGATGGCATCGAAATGATAAAATTTTTATGGAACCTAAGAATGGTGAACAACGAAATTTGTACATCTTTAAGAACATTTATATAATAGCATATTTTATGTATTTAAAATTTTGAAGCTAAGTTTCTATTTACATGTCTAATTATGTGCTAATGAAACAGATGACAGTATTAAACGTAAAATGTAGCTTTCAACAATTACATTATGGAAATAATAAATATAGCTTTCTCCTATCACAAACAAGTAAAATAAAATAACATGGCTGCATTTTCTTGCTTATTTTATGTTACTTTTACACCACCGAGAAACTCACTTATATTTAACGTACACTTTCGCTCTTATTTAATTATTTATTTTGAGTGTTTCGATAATCTTCATAGAGATTTCTAATTAAGTACTAATGCTTCTGTTAAAGATTAAAAGTTGCTTTTAAACAGTTTTGTTATTAAATAACAGAGGCATCCTGGCCAGAAAATGCGAGGGGAAGTTGAGGAGTTCAGGAAAGGTATCAAACTTAAAATAAATTTGTTATGCAAAATAAGGGAAACTCTATAAACTCTTTTATTATCTGTTATAACCTGAAATATTACTGAGGCTATCCATATTAATTTGTTACTAACTGTCAAAAAATCGCGGCAAAAACATCGCGAACGAAAACGTCGCGGAGAAAACAACCCAAGATAAAAACATCGTGGGAGAAAAGAAAGCAAAGAGAAAACATCGTTTTGTAAAATATCGTGGTCGAATATAAAACGATTCAAAAACTTCGCAGTTTGAAAATATCGTAGTAAAAAGAAAAGTACATACAAATCATCGCATGACGATATAATCGCACACATACGTTTTCAGGTTTTAAAAGTTTTAAATGTATGTTCGCATAATGATTTGGGAGCATAAGAAGGAAATAGGGATTCTTTTGCTTCCATATTTCATCTTTTTGAATGAATGAAAAGAATTTTGCTGAAGAAATAAGAAGGAAACTTAAGCATTTAAAAATTGAAAATGAGTAGAAAATTAATGCAACTTATAGAACTTAACAGAATTTTAAATTTGCATAGTTAATTAACAAAGGTCTGTGGGTAACATAAAGGTCTATAAGGTAAAGGTAACATAAATTAAACTTTTTTATTAAATTTTACTGGTTTTTTTTATGAAAAATACATTCTAAGTGTTTAGAAAAAAGAAAATAAATAACTGCATGAGGTTACCCATATAAAAATTGCTTAATTGATTATCAAATTATTTTCTTTCACATTTGTAGCTCTGATATTGTTTTAGCGAAAATTATACTTTGTTTTGTTTCCATTTATTCTTAAAGTGTTGTTAACTTTTTATGTATAGCGTACAATTAATTTTTTGATGTCGATTTGTTAGTTATAACGAATGTTAGTAACACAAAATGTCAGTATGGGATTTGAAAAACGCACGTGTGGGATGTTATCATCATGCGGCGATTTATTGGTACTTTATATTTTATCATGATATTTTCGACGACGATGTTATTAAATTGCGAAGTTTTTAAACCGCTTTATTTTCGACCACGATATTTTGTACCACGATGTTTCAGAACTGCGATGTTTTCTCTTCGCTTTCTTTTCTTCCACGATGTTTTGCACCACGACGTTTTCCCCTTACGTTGTTTTCTCCGCGACGTTTTCGTCCGAGATATTTTTTGCCGCGATGTTTTCGGATGTAACCACTGTGGCATGTATCCCCATGGAAAGGCTATTGATAATGCATGCATTTTATGTACAGTAACCATGTTATGTGAAGGGTAGTCAGTATTTAGATACTTGGTTTAAGGTTTCTTCTTATGTACTGTTTTATACTATACATACCGAATGTGTGTATTATTATACTATATACTGTCCTTATACTATGCAATTATGCTCAAACATATATGTATTTAGATACTTGGAATAAGTTTTCTATTATCTATTATAACCTAAAGTATTACTGAGGCTATCTATATTAATTTGTTAATAACTGTGGCATGTATCCCCATGTATAGGTCATTGATAATGTATGTGATTTATGCGCAGTAACCACGTTATATGATAGGTATGCACGATAGCCTAACGGTTTAGTAACGCCTGATCATTGTGCATTAATCTTAAGAAGAATCCCACGGAAATAACCATAGAGGCACGATGGTATTTTCCTAGAACTTTGAAATCTCCATTTTTACCTTTACTATGACTATGGACTTGTTTAGTGATTCAAATACGAAGGCATATCGTTGTCAAAAGTAATTCCCCTAATGAATAATCGTAACTTTCCTATGCGAGGTGACTAAGCAAAAATAACCTACACTGACCATAAAACTCTTCAGTGACAACAAACAAAGCTACGTCTGGCGGGCCTATCCGAAGATTCTTGCACCGAACAGGCATCATTCCGCATGGATTTCTAGGACGGAAGCCTGCCGCGCGGTGTACAGTGCAGTCTAGGGCACCTCTATGTTATAATTCATGAGTCCATATGGATAATGAATTCCCGTGTCTTGCAACTCCTGAACGTATGAAAAATGCTTCACAGGGAAATAAAGATTAAATAGAGAATGTATTAAAATTTTATTAATACTAAAAAAAAAGGTTTATAGCAATATTTTATACCATCTCTACAAAATTACGTGAAAAAATTATTTATTTCAGAATATCAGTAAAGCTCAATGGATTGCAGCATTTTGTAATATTGTTGAATAAAATTATTATATCAACAGTATTTATTCATTATATTAGAAACTACTGAAACTTACTTACAGGTTTTAGTTTAATTTAAGCTCTACTGAGTGCAAAATTTTGCCAAAGCTGATAAGGATTAGCTGAATTATAACCACCAATCTGTTAGTTTAATAAGAACTTTAATTTTGCCAAAGTTGAGGAGGGTTAGCTGAATTGTAACCACCAATCTGTTAATTTAATAAGGACTTTATAGTATATCTTAAACCTCTCCCTCCAAAAAAATATTTTTCTTATATTTCCAACTAAACTCATATTTATGTGTTGTGTAGCGCATGGTAAATATTTATTCTATTTTATACATTTAGTATATATTGATGTTAATTTGTAAGTATGTTAAATTAAAAACCCATTTTTAAATATAATAACACTTCATTGATATTTAATAAATATAATACAACAATATTATTTCCCAATAATGTAAAATTTAAGGACACATATTTAAACTTACTGTATGAATGGAAGATTCTTCGAAGCTTCACTTTTAGTTTTCTGTAAAATTCCTTTGTTGTCATCGTTGCTGAGAAGCCTTGAGCACTGATTTAATGGGGGGAAAGACCTTGTATGCTGCTCAAGAGCTAATTTGTGTCGATTGCAGAAAGCCTAAAAAATTTAAAAAAACAAGAATATTGTTTCAACTGATTCCATTCCTTGCTGTGACAGTTAAGAAACCGAATGAACTGACTGACTAAAGAGCAATCTAGTATAATACACTATTCTCTGATGTAGAAAACATATTCAAACCTTTATTCATACTTTGTGTTCCGTGTATACTATTTATACATTTTAGCACGTTTTGTTTGCAATGTTATTGTGGCATTGCAGGAAAGAGAAAAATCTCAAACTGCAAAAAGGTGATCAAATTACTTTATTTGAGCTTTATGTTATACGCATGAAACTTTTCTCATTCAGATCAATTTAAAATGAATTAAATATTTTTTTTAAACATTGATTACTTGCATTAACGTTAGTTCTTAAATATTGATAAATAGAAAGTTTATGCATTGTTGAAAACGTTTATTCGATATCTATAAATACTGAATTATAGATATCGAATAAACGAAGCAATGCATTTTATTTCATTTGTTTATTAAAAACAAAGCTGTTATAAGAAGAACTGCATAATTTGTCCACTATTGCATTTTATCGTCCTGTGAAGCTTCATGTCGTACATTTCGGCATGCACAGTTTGCTCTCTAAAATAGTACATGTATTTTAATAAGGCAAAAAGAGCATGTTTACGTAGATAAAATATGAAATAACTCTGTAAATACGAAGACCAACTTCAAATCATTACCAGCAACAAAAGCAGCTTAATATGATTTCGTTCAACCATTACTTTACCCACGATGAAATAATAAGCAAAGTTTATTTCAAAGCGGTAATTAGATTTTCGTTCTAAATGAACAATTTTGCAGAGCATTAAGTTCATCAAAATCAGTCTCCATTTATGATGTTTTTAACCTAACGTGAAGAATTATAAAATGACAGAACGTATGACATATCAGAAAATCGACAGACAGTAATGATAATATATTAAATATTACAAATTTTAAAGCTTTGTCGTCGACCTTAGAAAAGGACTTCAAGAACTGCATTCTGCCTACTAGCTAGCCGTCTCTGATATAATCGTTGTAAAGCTTTAAGTCAAGTCACAAAAGTGATGAATAAAGAATAGTGTTCACCACAAACAAAATTATTTTCATAACTTCAACAATTGTTGTTACTAATCTTCGTTAGATCTAACTCTTGGTTATTTTCAGATAGCTGTAAGACCAGAAAATGTAAACAAAACAGTTTATGTAGGAATGCAGGGATTTATGCCTTCTTGCGGTTGGCTCTTTTTTTTGTGCGTGTGCTGGAGCCCTATGAATTTTCAACGGGTGATAGGTACTATCTTGTGGTCGGTATTGGGAATAATATGCTGTATATACCTCGAGATGATTTAATTGTTACATCAGAATCTATAGAAGAAATGTATAAAAATCTCCTCGAAGTATATACATTGTCAAAAGATTCAAGACTGAAACTTAATATCGGAAACTGCAAGTTCATTTGCAAGAAGTTAAAGTATTTAGGATTCAAAATTAAGCAAGACGGTATTACGACAGCTGAGTTCAAAAATTCTTGTGATGAAATATTTTCCCACCTCTAAAACTGCGAAACGTTTAACATCATTCGTTGGGTTATATTCGTATTATAATAAAATTATGAAGAATTTCAAAGACATTGCCAAATCAATCTTAGAGTTGAAAAGGAAAAAAAAATGTTTTAAATGCTTCGAGGAAGCAGGAAAGACATTTGAGACCTGTAACAAGCTCTAATATCGGTTCCAAAGTTAAAAGTTCCTGATTCAGAAAACCCATGACAAATTTGCACAGACGTGCCAGGTTATTCAGTATGAGCTGTGAATGTGTGTGAGCAAGAGGGTAACGCGATAGCGAAGTTCAGAAAGAAATATGAACCCAGCGGAAAGGGATTGTTCCGTTACTGAACGGGAAATGCTCGCAAGTGCTTGGGCGGAAAAGAAATTTCAGATCTCTCTTACGACAGAGCAGTTCGGTTTTCACAGATCATGCGGCCTTAATCAAAATGAAATATCCAAAATATTTGATGCCAAGAATGGCTATCTGGACGTTAGATCTCCAGAATAATTAAATTTTTATTTTGAACATCGGCAGGGAAAGAGAATAAAGTGGGAGATACGCTTTCAAGAATTAGGGTAGATGAGGATGAAAACAAGATTAGTTATAATATGTTAACATCCGTTGTCTTTGATTCGGAAAAATCACTTTATTTATTATAGAATTACAGAGGAAAGTATCCAGAACTCGGACAAATTTGTGCGTACTTAAACAATCCAGAAAATGTTGAGGCAATAATGGAGGTAGAGGTTAAGTATAGAAACATGCATTATGAAGTGATTGATAACACTTTGGTTTACAAGAAAAGTGAGAATAAGAATATAAGGTATTTCTCCTGCCTTCTTGGCATTCCTTTGTGGTGTGGTAGTCTGCATGCTCAGCACGTAATTGAGAAGTCCGTGGCTCGATTCCCGGTTAAGGCATTGCATATTTTTCATCTTGCCTGCTTTGAAAAAAATGCTAATATCTCTACAAGAATGCAGAATGAAGTGTAGTCATTCCAGCTGTTCTGAGAATAGAAGTCTTGCACGAATTACATGCTAACCTAATTTCGGCGCACATAAGTGTGCAGAAGAGAATATAAAGAAGTAGGAAAGATGTTGCCCTCCCAAAGTTGCAGCAAATTACTCGTGAATATCTCCAGAGCTGTGTCACATGCCAGAAGTTAAATTTGCAAATTTCTCGCAGGCCGGTTACTTAAATTGTGTAGGATCTATATTTTCAAACGGAATTCACGGAACAGACTTATTAGGCCCTTACATCAACAGCCATATTAATAAAAACATTTACTCTTGGGACTGCAGACCCTTCTACAAAGTGGCTGAGATTAATACTATTAAGTGGTGCATCAGCTAATTTAGTCTCAAACGCACTTTTAAAAAATAAATTTTAAGGCATGAGAGCCCTCTTAAAATAATTTCCAACAATGGACCTCAATTTGAAAGTAACCTTTTTAAAAAGCTAGATATTCATTGCTTATTACAGAATGTTTATGAAGGAAAGTGAAAACAGAAGTATCATAACCAAATGAGAATCTCTACACTGAAGAGTTAGTCTTTGCATTATGATCAGATAAGTACGAGATAACTAGGGCCAAGTTATGTTTCGAGCTGGAAAGTAAAGTTTCATGCTGAAATGTAAGTTTCAACAAAAGAGATTGATGAGGTAATCATAATATCGGATAAGAAAGAGAAAAGTAAAAATTGTATTGTTACAAAAGAATTACACTTAGAAATATATAAAAAACTGGAGACAATTTGTTAAAAGTAAACCATGTGCTGTCATTCGCAGAAAAGGCAGAAACAAGCAAGCTTAGTCCTAAATTATAGAGTCCTTAGCTGTGAATGTTAAGGAAAATGTACTAATTGTACAGAGCAAAGTGGGTCAGACCATTTCCACAAACATACTTTAATTAGAGAAATAAATTTTATGATAGTGCTATGCCACAGTTGAGAGAAATTCGAGTTCAGTCAGACACAGCTCCTGAAATGGAGGCAAATGAGAAAGACAGGGATGCGGAAGAAGGTTAGGTAAGGCGTGTAAGGAAGGAGGATGAGCCAGAAGATCGGAATGACGAAGATGAGCAGGTGCCAATAGATAAAATATGAAAGAAAATAGGATTGGAAAATCAAAGTCGAGGTATGAAGGAGAGTTAGGACCTGGAGGTAGTAGGACAACGACAACAAGGCAACGCAGTAAAAGGAATACGAAAGAAAAATAAACAGACTGAATGTAAGGCAATGAGGTAGTAAAATCCAAGGAACACCATTGCAAAGTAATAATAGATATAGCACAAGGTCTGAAGCGAAAGCAGATCGGAGAAAAAGCGCACAGGCCACAGCCAAAGAGAGTCTGCATTCAATATGGAAGTCGGCAGAGAAAGACAGAAAATTAGGAAAATGGCCCCGAGTTACTTCGTCGGAGAATCATTGAGACATGAATTCGTTCATGAGAGTGTAGACAGCATCCATGAAGAGTCTACGGGGAAGGAATCCAACATCCGCCGAAAGGAGGAAAGCCATCTACAGGCCGAGCAATGCAACAGCCACCGGAGGAAGGAGTCGCCGATGCACTGGTTTCAAGGGCCACTGCAAGTCAACGAGAGACCGAATTTCGAAGCTGGCGTGAGAAACGTATGATGGACTGAAGCCGGTATGGGAAGCAACGGATATGCTAACATATACACCTCGATGTTTTCAGTACAAAGAAAACGACGGCAGTACAGAAAGCTTAAGAAGAATTGTAAATAATTAGCATGTGATAAAGTGAATGTGTTACAGTAAACTGAAACTTCAAATTATGCATAAATACTATAAGATGTTTCTTCCTTCCATGTACAGTTTGAAAGGCGGAGAAAGATGATTGATTTAAGATTAGATTTTGGGTAAATGGGCTTCGACAAGATCAAAATTTAGGGATAAAAGCTTTTTATAAAAACGGTTTGAGGACTTAAATTGAGTGTTTAGCTCAACGTTTGGCTGATGTACAACGTTTGGCTTGCATCTTAGCGAAAGTAGCTGTTCGAGAAGAAAGTAGAATGTCAAGACATTTAGCTTATTTAACAAGTTAAGATTTTAGGCTAGCTTTTAATAATTGATGCGTAGCTTGCATTCTTGCATTTATAGCTGTAAATTCAACGGCTGTTGAAGGGTATTTGTTTCACTGAGAAATCAAAGAGACTAGTAATTTTGTTTAGTAAGATTTTACTTTTTCTCTCAAAAGTGATGAGGTAGAATAAGTCTAAGTTAGTGTATTTGTGAGCTTCCCATAAACCAACAGGACTGGGACCAGAAATTGCACTTGTTTTTACTGGTCTAGCGCAGTGATGTCCACGAAACTACCAGCTATTCACCATCTCAGATGCTCTTCGATCATGACCTTCGCGTGCCTTGTGATTTTCTATTTGGTCGCCCTCTGGATGCGCCTTCATCGCCTGAGGAGCACATTCATTATCTCCAGGCACGGTTTGAAGTGATGGACAATTTTGCACGAGAGCGAGTAAGTGATGGCGGAGAAGATGGAGACCCGGTACGACACGAGAACGAGCCAATTTGGTGAGGGAGAAGATGCAGCCCCGGTATCACATAAAAGCTACAATGCATCGATTCAACGAAGGTGAAGGTGACGAGGTGTGGTTATGGGATTTGATTCGACGGAACAGAATTTCTCTTATTCTACAGTCGCCTTGGGACGGTCATTAGTATAAACAGAATGAACGTCGTCGTAACTCGGATCAAGTCACTAAATGGCTTTTAAGTAACACTTGAGAGGTGAGAGTAGAACTAGCAGGTGAAGTAGTCAATAAGTAGTTATAATGCCGTAAAATTGGTAGAAAATTACCACTGAAATGCACTTCATAAACTTCAGTAATTTAAAGATTTATTTTTTATGTGCCTATGTATGTTTACTCATATTTAATTAATTTTAGCTTAAGTTATGTTATTATAAATTTAGAATGAAAAAGAATCTTTTACCTTTTCACAGATAGTAGAATCTCTTGTGGACGGGAGGGATTCTGAGGAAGAAGATGCAGGGGATCGGGAATCCATGGGGGCAGAATCTCCATTGCTCTCAGACATGGGACTAGACCTTCCTGTTGCATCCGAGCTCTTGTCGGTTTTCGTTCCACTGCTGTCTAAAGAAGGCATTGACACCAAAGGCTGTTTTTGTCCAACAGCAACCGCTTCATGTTTCTTTGACCTTCGTGTCTGGCTTTTCTGCCTTGTACCCAAGTATCCATCTTGATCATCGCTTTCAGATGAAGATACTAAAGGTCCACATATACTAGTTCGTGAAGAGTTGCGAGGGATACGAACCTCTGCATTTTCATTGTGGTCTTTCACAGGTGTGCTTGCTGGAGACATCACCGGACTCCGCCGATGCTTATCTGTATATTTCTTAGGTTTCTCCCCTTTTCGTACTCCTGTCCTTGGACTGCCTTTAAAATTCGTACCATTCTGCACTTTGTTGTTAACAGAACAAGCTAATAAATCAGGCTTACTTGACTCTATTAACAACAGAGTAGAAGCGTCCTGTGGAACTGTCTTTTCTGTAGCTATGTACATTTCTAAATCTCGAGCGCTTCGAACTTCACCTTTACGAATTTTAAAGTCAATATGATCCATTCCTATACCTTCATCATCAATAGAGTCATCTGTGCTTGTTGTTTGATACGAAGTTCGATTATAGAGAAGTCTATGTTTCCCTTGATTCCAAACGGTAGGAACAGCAGGCGTATTCTTTGGTTCGAACACTACAGGAGCAGATTGATTAGGGGTATGACAATGACATGCTATTGTTGGGGGAAAGAAAAATGCTTTATCATTGCCACCAACACTCAGATATGTCATTTGAAGTCCGTGAGGTTTTTTAGGAGACTGTAGCTCTGTTTTACGATTACAGTTTGGATGATGATTGTGGTCAACATCATCAGATATAGGGCTACTAGAGTTACAACGAGATAGACCAGGACTAGAAATAGAAGAATAACCTGATGTACTGAGATTAGACTCAGATATAGTGCGATCAGTAGACGATGAAATTACGGCTAGAGGACTTAAATACATCATCGATTTATTAGGGTTGGGAGTACGCGGTGGACTAGCTTCATCTGAATCACAAGAATTCATGTTGGCAGTTATTAAAATTTTTGGCATCGGTAAATCAACAGAGTACTTTCGAGGTGGCACGAAGTCTTTCTTGCAAGGGGATGATTGTTCATTTCTATCCTGCGAAGAAGTATTATTTGAATTATCTGGTTCATCTGCTTCAGCAGAAAACACATGAATTGCAGGAATAGGATGAGGCACTTCGAGATAGGAACTCCTCCTTGATATGACAGGGCTAAGAGGTTTGATTTTCTCACAAGCATCACCTTTTGATTCATTATCACAGTTTTTTTCATCTGCTTCAGAATCCTGTTTTGCATCTGTTTCACACTGGTCTATTATGATACTAACAGATGGCGCAAGAGATCTTTCAGAAGGCGTGGGACTTGGAGCGGCTGAGTGCGTTTGAACTATAGAGTTATCTGGTGATTTCCTAACGTTCTCTTCATCTTGGGACTTTTGATCTGAAGTACAGGAAGGGAGATTAGGTGATACATCGGCCTGAATTTCACTTGTGCTTGGTTCACCACTTAAACTTTCTGATGATGACATGTATTCAATAGACTGCTCTCGAATGCTTTGAATCTCCGAAAAGGATTGCCTTAGAGTTTTGGGGGATGCGATAGATATGAAACTCGTTTCTCTCTTGCCACCTAGAATAAAATAAACAAACTATGCATTAAAAAAGTAAAGGAGATTATTTTGCACAAGATACAACACAAAACGATTTACTGAAGGAAAGTGGATATTTTCCATACATACTTTCAGAATCCGTACTTTCAGCGGTACTGTTCGTTCTTTTTGCACTTAGCTGTAATTTCCTTTCACTCATTCGAAAAAATTCGTCGAGGCTCATGCGTCTTGAAACAGCTTCTTTGTTGGATGTAACTAGTGACGCTAAAATACGGGATTTCTCCTCCTCTTTCTTCGCTGCTTCTTCCTTTGAAGTAACTGCATGAGGAGGATTAGACGTACTTGCTCCACTGTAAAAGAAATGAGGAGATTTAAATACAAAGTTAGTTCGAAATTTGCGATTTCTTACAAGACTTAATACGGTTAGATTCCTATTATGCTTAACCCTATTAGAATTGTGTTAATAGATGACGGAGAGTGAAATGAAGTATAGAATAACCTAAATTGTACTAATAAAAGAATTATACTTACGTTTGTCTGATATCTATATCTTCACAAATTATGGGGTTTTATAACCACGGATAAAGAAAAATTTATATTGTAAAAATGTGAAAGGTTGCAAGAGCGTAGGTTACAAATCTATTGACCAAATGAAAAACTCTGTCTTGCATACATTTGAAGCAGAAATGTTAAAAGGGATAACTTATACCTAAATGATTACTATTGAGTAAAAGTGCAATATATATATATATATATATATATACATATACCTAATTCCTTTTTATATAACAACATTTTTAAAATCAGTTGCATTTAATATGAATTCAAAATATGTATTTCATTCTCTTTTTACCCATGTCATTTGGATTTAATACGAGCCGGCATAGACAATTTCTAAGAATTTCTATGCCTAAATTATAAGGATGTTTTTTATTTCTGCCATAATAGTGCATACACGCACGAATAGTTCAACAAATATTTCGTCCAAGAAAGTCAGACATTATATGAATGTGAAAGGTCTCGAATACGAAATTATTGACGATTCACATGGACACATCCAGTCTGGGAATATCCAAATGTACAAATTTTATTTCTGCCATCTGATACTCAACCATTGCTACAACCGCTAGATCAAAGTATAAATGAGTCATTTTAGACATATGACGCAAGATGAACATTCCAATACATTTTAGATAAGATGAAATGCTAAAAATCATTGACGTGTGTAAGAAATTCTCAATTATGAATTGTATCCGTCATTAGCGTTAACTGAATTAAAATCAGCAACTCTGAATTTGTGTTGGAAAACGTTTTGGCCACAATGTACAGAAACCAAAGATCACATATATCCTAATACGGCGGAATTCTCCAGTATCATCAGAATGGAATTATATTTTGTGGAGATGGATTCGATGACCTGTCGTTTGATGATAATGATGAATTTTTAGTCAACAAAATCCTAAGTGATAATGAAACATTAGAGGCTGTTATTGAGACTCCCCCAGAATATACTGATAATGAAGAAAATGTTCCAGATTTAACAAATTAATTTAAATTAAATCCAGATTTAACAAAAGAAGGGCTGTAACTGCCCAAAAGTTGGGGAATCATTTTGTTTAAACGTGACCATAATGAAGAACGCGCTGGGAAGTCTCAACGTAAACTAAAGTTGTTGACAGCCTCTCCAAGAGAATCATATAATGGCCCAACCAAAAGACAAACGCATCGATTACTACCTGAATCCTTTAGTAAGATTGAAGAAATATCAGCAGCCAAAGAGATTCGTGCTGATTTTGCTCTAGAAATCACAGAAAACATCTCCTTAATAGAGGTAGATTACTATTTTTATAACATTTCTGGCAATAACAGTAATATTCGATCCGAAGGCAAACGTATACGTCATTTATTATCAGAAAGTGAAAATGGATAAGCTATTGTTATAAGTAAAACATATGTGTTCGTTTATGAAGGATTGTATTCATTTCAAATGCAAATATACTTTATTACATTTTCATTACATGTATGCTTTTTTGAACTAAAAAAGAAGCCTAAAATGAATATTTTCTGTTAGTATAATAACAATAAAAAATAACAGTAGTATAATAAATAGTAAAGTTAAATTAAATTAATTTAAATAATTCTCATGCGCCATTGCTGCAAGAGATGAAATTTTGAATTTAACAAACATTCTCTATTCGTATAAAGCAAATTTATAGTTAATTAAATTAAAATTTTAAATTATAAAATTTTAATTGCATACAAATAAATGATTCATTATTGCTGCAAACTCATGGATATGCACATGGGTGACAAAAATTATGTGTGTATTTCACATACGTATATAGCATTAAGCTATTCGCTGAATGATTTTTAAAATTTTCGTTCAGCGTAGTAGAAAGCTTCAAATATGAAACCCCTCCGTTTATTAAATTACTGTGGTAACTTTTAAAAAGCATTATAATTCATTTATTGGATAAAAATGTTAAGATTAAATTCTAAATTTATTTTCTACAATTTAAAGTATCTGCACTTTAATTATTTTCTTTTTAAATAATGTTCTCGGAAAGCACTTAATCTCAATAGTGTTTAAATGGCTTGCCTTAAAGTCGTGAAAGGAACATGCATCTGTATGAAATTGGCCATGCCTAGCGATCGAATATCTTGTAGTATCCCTACTGGCAAAATACAGGATTTATCGAACTGAGAAGCCAAGAAAAAGCAAAACTTTCCAGTTATAAAGAGAAAGAAAGGCGCTTCATTAGCAGAAAACGATACTTGCTTCAGTTGAACCAATTATCAATCAGTCGCATGACGCGTCACTGTTTTGACTGAAGGAGGGTTCTTGTCCATGGAGGTAAGAAGGTTTTCTACATTCTTTGGTAGAAACGTATTTCCGCTAGTTACTTGGCAGAAAGAGAAAGCTGATACATGACATAACACACAAAGTTAAAGTTTAACGAAAAATCTTATAAGGTAATTATGAGCGAGAATAAAGAGTAAATCTGACTGAGAGATAAACAGGTTGATGGCTATCTTAAAAAAAGAAGAGTATTGAGATATATTGCTGCTGAAAGGCGTGATATGTCATTAATGTGCTCTTAAATTTGTTGTCCTATATCATTATGCAGAAAGGTCTAAGCACAGTTTTTGGCTACATTTAATGAAAATTTTTGGCTTAGTTTAAATGAACATTTCTGCTCAGTTCGGTTGGTTTTTGAATTATATTTTTTGAGTGTAATAGTTCATCATAATACTCGCTAAAAGCCTAATTATGCATTTGACTGCTAATGAACATGTTTCCATAGATGTATGCATGTCAGTAGCGTTACGACAACTTATTTGAGATTTACCAAGAGATATAGTGATATTCTTATGAACCCTGTAGGATTGAACTATTATTTTAATTACATTTTATCATTTCATGTTATTGTTATCAGGAAATTATTTTAAAAGCAAACATTTAATTTCATATTTCCAGTTATCTACTGTCTTGATTTAATTTGCGTTTTTCAACCTTGCGTTTTAAAAATTTCTTAGTAGTTCATTTTAAACATACTACTAATTGTTTTATAACAAAAATTTAAACTTCGTCACAATGAAATAAATGAAAGGAAACCATGCATATTGATCAGATATTAACCTAGAGGAAGGATTATTTGAAGGTGCCTTATTTCTTTTGGAGGAATGTACCCTACGTAGAATGTCATCAAAGCTAAACGTCCGGGACTGCTCTCTGTCAGGAGTTGGGCTTGGGCTACAGGCAGTACTCAGGAGACTATTTTTTCGGATACGGCTGAACAAGGATTTCGGACATGTTTGTGGGCTTTGATTTCCTGGCGTGAGGCTTGGCTGAGTAGAACTTAAGCTATACCTTGTTGCTGGTGGTGAAGGTTCTGAATTAAGAAAAAGAAAATGTCTTATTAGAGGCTACATAAAGCATTTTAAACCTTTATGTAAAGAATTACTCAAAAACTTCAAAAAGTAATACTTTAGTACTTCTCCAGTATTCTTTGTATGTAAATTTCAATACATATTTCACATCATAAATAAATATATGCTACTCGATGGGACAGAAGAGAAACATTGCATATGGATGAGAAAGCCAGAAAAGAATTAACAGCAGTTGTTTGAAATGATAGCTTAAACTTTTTAAATTAATTTTTCATTGATCTTAATTAGATCTTGTTTTCGCAACTTAGAAGCAAAGATCTTATAAATAATAAAAAATACAAATTTTAAGCAATTAATATTATAGAGATTACATTGCTGAAATAGACACATCAGACCACAGTTGAGAGAATGGTAGTATGAAAATGTATTACTATATACTCAAACTAATCTTCGATCTCCATTATTTAACAGATTAGCAATTATAAATTTTATTGAATAGCTGTTCATCCTTGAAAAGTGTATGAATAAGTGATAATGATTTTGATTATGATAATGTAACATTATATTTGCTGATAAATTATACGTAGTTAAAATTTCTCGAAAAAATATGCTGAAGGCCGCTAAGAGTAAGAAACCTCAGCTGATATAAGTATTTGCTACTATTCAGATTAAAAAGTAAATTGCATGGTAATGAATCATATTCACTTAAGATTTACTTCATTACTAAATATAGGTGATTTTCTTTTACAACTTCATACATCTACATTAGAAGTAGAAATAGATATACTTACGGAACTTGCTCCTTTCAATTTCTTCTGCCAAAAATTTCTCAATTTTGTCTGCGAATTTGCGTTTGATGCAATATACGCAAAGTATAATTAACAAAACGCTGAATACAGTTATAAGACCAAGCCAGAAAGGCTCCTCCAACATTCTTTGACTTAAAGGCTTATAAGGAATACGAATCACAAATTTTTCACAGTGTGTCCCTGTAGAAAACATTAATAACATTTACAAATTAGATGTAACACATTTATAGCAATATAATAATGACATAGAATTATTAGTTAAAATATCATTATTCTTACATAATGCCTTATGCATAAAATTTTCTGAATTATGATAAATTCTGTGTAAATGAAGATACATTGTACAACTATCCTTTGTCACTCGGAGAAACAATTTGAATTTGTTTCAAATACTCTGCGATGATAAATTCATCTATGCATCTAAAGCTGATCCCCTAACTTTCTTTCTAACATATTTATTAAAAGCATGTACGCGGGAATTGATATTTTGCAAATAAATTAAGCGTTACAAATATTTTACTAAGCTTACGTTTTGCTGCATGAGAAATTATATCTTATTTCTCAATCGTCTTTGGAAACAGTTTCTAGACTGTTTCTTTGATGTTTTCAATTTTTTATGAAAATAAAAATAGCTGTATGTATCTGAAATAAAAATTTAAGAAGCTCAAACTCATATCTATCTTTTTCGGACATTTTATATACCTATGTTTATACATTAAAAATGTGACTCTGACTGCCGTACCGATGGGCCCGGGTTTGAATCCCGGAGAAGGCATGATTATATAATTTGTCCGTCGCTTCATAGAAGGCAACGGCGGCTCACCTATTTGGTGCCTCCATAATAAAGAGACCACCGCTTTCAGCCTTAATAGTGGCCAATGCCTAGAAACGGCTAGAGCCTGCCATTGAAAAAAAAAAAAAAAAAAAAAAAAAATACATATTGCTTATTATTTTATGTTCAGTTAGCTGCACAAAGGAAAATAAGAAATATAGAAACAAATAATGATTCTTGTTACAAAATGCTATAGCGATGTAAAATGTGTCAAATGTGTCATATGGTATCAATACAATTTAACGCTAAGAGCTCACTAAAAAATGCAATCATCAAGGTAAACGTTTTAAACAAATTACACTCCTTCATTACAATGACAAGTGGAAGTCTCACACTAATAGCAGATGTTAGACATAAAATAACCTTCATAATCAGGAGCACAAACGCAAGCAAAACTTCCGTTTCGAAGTGTGCATACACCATTTGATTCACAGGGGTTTGGAGAACATGGTGTAACTCTTTGCTGGCAACGAGGTCCCGAATATCCTGGCAAGCAGTCACAGTTCCATCCATTAAGTGTCAAGTTACAGATGCCATTTTCACCACATATATTTACATCGCACCAGGTAAGCTGGCAAAATAAACCTGAAAATGGAAGAAATGAGAATTTGGTGAGTTAAACAAAATTATTTGTATACGTCATAGAGAAGTTAACAAAACTATTCTTGTTTAAGCTAATTAAAATATTCTGCAACATAAATAAACTTCAGCCATATGGAAAAGCTATTTATTTAATTTATAAAAGTTTCTGTTTTCACTCATTTTATTACAAGAATATTATTTGTTTAATGATATTAAACTATTTCACTGTAGAGAAATGAAAAAATGTCTTGTTGCGGGACCTATGTTCTGTTTCTATACTTTGCTATAAAAATCATGGACACCAATGCTGTACTACTACTTCATCTTAGGGAAGAACTTAATGCAGAAACAGGCAGGTGAAACCGTAACTAACTAAATATCAACTGAGAAACTAAACTCTTAAAAGTTAGCTAATTACCACACTTTTAGTGATCGTATAAGTGAATTTTTAATGCATTGCGTTGTGAAAATGCATCCGGGACCGCGCCGTGAGAGGATCGAATAAACAACATGTAAAATATATATATATATATATATATAATATATATATATATATATATATATATATATATATAAGATATAAAAAAACACATAAAAGATATAAGAAAACATAAGTAATAGGTTTCCAGATTAAATACCAGTTTATTCAAATTCCTCAACAATTAAAATTAAATCTTATCCTAATCAGAGAGTCAAATTTCTTATTTTTGTTACAGTTCAATTTTTCTTATTTTAGACACAGGTGAATTCTTCAATTTATCATTTTCATTTGTTACATTTCAATTCATGATTTGCAAATCTATTACATGACTCTTTTAATTTAACAGGTACCCGTTCTGAGATTTCTAAGAGGTTAAAGAAAACATATTATCTGCAATTCAACATCTGTTCTAAGGAAGATTACACAAACAAATTATATTATTACATCCTAATTCATAAGAGGACCTTAAGGTTGGTCTCGGTAAATTAAGAAGGGGAAAAGGGAGGCAATTCAGCTCCTTAGAATTAATGAATTAATTTAAGATTCAAATTAAAGTAAAGTTCCAATTTCCAAAAGTTCGAAGGAAAATTGATAGCAAAGCACTTATCTGTTGTTTAGACGACTTGAAACGCACCCGCTGGCTGGCCTTGCATTCTGGGAGAAATCAGGTATAAGAAGCCCACCATAATTCCTGAAAAAATGCATTCCGTAAGGGGAACACAGGCGTCTAAGGAGTCTCACGCTTTCGGTGTCACTGGCCGCAATTCAGGCGAACACCGACTCCATTATTTTTCAGCAACACATCCGCACGCTCAGCATCGCAGAAAATAAGCCACTAGAACCAGCACCCGAGCAGAATCTTCAAGCTCGCAGTCCGGATGTCGAGTATAAAATCTCACATTGGCCGGGGTGGAACTTGGCCAATAATTCTTGGAATTTAATACTCGCTGGAGAAAAAAAAAGCTTAATACTCGCTGGATCCTTTTATTTTTCATAGCAAGGCGACGGCCGCTGGATCATAGCAAGGCGACGGACGCTGGATCATAGCAAGGCGACGGATGCTGGATCATAGCAAGGCGACGGCCGGATAGTGTCCGCCGTGCTCCGCCTAAATCACAACTTATTCATCCCCGGAAACGTAACAAATCCTTCAGCTTCGAAAGTCGGGCAAAAAGTGTTAATCTTGAAAGCCTTAAATCCTTCAGCAAAACTCGTCCAAAGTCGGGCAAATAAAAAGTCTCTTTAAACATTTCAGTAAAACTCGCCCATCTTCAACCTTTCGCCTCTTAGCCAAAACGCGGCCGGGGAGCATATTTGCCGCTCCCCGCCGGAAAACATCTCTCTTCGTAAATTACATCTCCTCCTTTTCTATCGTTCAACCCAAGAGCCAGTTTCAAGAGTAACGTCCAAAAGGTAAGTTCAGCAAGTAAGTGATTCCAAGAGTAAGTGAGAGAGTGATTCAAACTCGAATTTTTTTCGTCTCCTTCACAAACGCGGGCTCCCACAATGGCTTCAATTATTGCCCCCTTAATTTGGGCAAAATTTGCGTTTCAACCCTGAATGCGGAAATAAGGGCGAATGCGCGTGCGCGCTCCTCCTTCACCTAGCCAACAACCGGACCTCCGATCGTCAACCTGAATGACTTACATCGAAGGTTAATTGGCAACCTCTGACCCTTCTGTCCCGTACTTCCTGTCCTAAGGTCAACTGCACAATGAAATTTCTTCTAGAACATTCTAAAGGACAAAGCGCGCGAATCATGACTTAGCAGAATCGCCTCCTTTTCCCAGCTTCTTTTCACAATGAATCAAAGCTTGTACAAAAATTGCAAATAAAAGAAAAATAAATAATATTCATTGAAACTAAATAATATTCCCAGAAGCATCTGTTTTTTCCCAAAATTAAAGTAATTAAATAAATAATTCAGAATCAAATAAAATTAAGATTTCTTTAAATCAGAAAATCATTCACCTAGTTTTTTATAACGCGATCAGACGATTCTCTACACACACACACACACACAAAAAAAAAAAAAAAAAAAATCAGATGTCATTTTCAAAATAATTTCTATCTTTGCATAATTATTTTAGGCAACAGATTTCAGCATAAGAATAGTGTAAATCTGCATCCTAGTTCACGAGAAACTGAAGAAATTATTATAAAATCGAACATTTGTCAAATTTAGATTTTCAGAACTCTGTAAATATTAAATTTGTTAAAAACGATATTGAGCATCTCTAGAGGACACTTTTGAAATCACAGTCATTGCTTTGTATCCCACGCAGAATTGTTAAATTAACATTTAAAATGCCCACAAAGAAGGGAAAATATCGCCCAGAAGCCTGCCTGTTCGTCTTGAGCGTGTTAATTCCAGAAAATTCGGCTTTTATGACTTTGCGGGAACGTGGTCGAAAAATAAAGCACTTTGTACAAAACACAAACTTTATACAAGAAAAAATTTCCTTTTACAAATAAGAACATTATGATTTAATTCTTATTAAGATAATTTAAATAATTTATCAGACTTTAAAAGAAAAGAAAATTTTATTTTCTTTACAGTCTGATAGTATACTTAAAAAAGTATACTTCCAATGCGGTTTCACTTTCTGAAATAAAACCTAAGTGAAAATATACTTAGTTTATACTAAGTGAATGTAAACCTGGTAACATCGACACAATTTACTACCATTTCTGATCTTCGAACCTTTTTATTTTCTTTGCAATATTATCACAGTTATAATGTATCAGTTATAATATAGGACACAATATGTGGACCTTTGAACAATAGAAGCTTTAACTGCAGCAGAATATTTTTCTGTAACATTAGTTGAACTGAATATACATTTAAGGAAACAAATGCAACAATTAAAAAAATTTCTGGATGTTATTTTGCTAATAGTTTATGAGTGTGTACAATAGAGCCACCATTACTAGAGATCTACAGATTCCTTAATTTACAAGCTCCTCTCTTCCATTTTATGAAAGAAATTTCTAAACTGAGTGAATATTTAAGCCGTTGTTTATCATTATTATTCAGTTAATCAGTGTTCTTTATAAAGAATTTAATAATTGATTTAGATCTTGATATTTAAAAAGAAATGAAAAACATGCATTTTACTTCTCAGAGGCTGAAAATAACGAATCATACTGCAAAAGATTGTACTGGAAATTATATAAAACCTTTTATGTGTTTCTTTATTGCGCTTCTTTCTCTTAGAAATTCGTGAATTGGAGCATATAGAATTAATAATACGGTGTGCGAAATGGATAATAATGTCTAGAAATTTAAAAAGAAACCTATGCAGGATAAGTTTAATGGTATTTTAATTTGTAGCTAATGTAAAAATATTCGCAGCTAAAGTAGAAACAACATATTACTTATTTCTAGTATCAAATCGCCCTTTAGATCAGACTTCAGATCAGATCAGGAATCAAATGTCTAACTCTTGTTAAATATAGTATTCATAAGTCATTCTAATTAAATTGAATCATCCTAGTCGGATTGGTAATCAATCAGTGTAATTAGACTGACACACCCAAGTCGGACTATTAAGTAGAGATTGTGTGAAGCCTGTTTCCATCTTCGGTAGCCTAATAAGTAAGAATAAGGTAGTATCTGAAATATAAAATTTCTGGGATTAAACACAAATTACAATTCAGGCTTACATCATAAGAGAAGATTCACTATATTTACTTTCCTTCATATATTTACAGTTTTTTACATATCAACATTATATTTATTGTTTTTAACATCGAAGAGCATTTGAAGTTTAAAATTTAGACAGGAATACTATTTTGGGATACGTCAGTAAGTAACAAAGGCAATCAGTATTCAGTGCAGTAAGCTAATTATAATAAGCAAGTCTTTTTATCTACATTATCTAGAACAATTAAAATGTAGGGCACAATTAAAAAATGAAATTTTTTTGCATTTATGTTGTATGGATAAATATTTCGTACAAAAATGCATAAAAACTATGAGATTACTTTTATAACTTATTGTCTAAATATAGAAAGAATTATATTTGCTATATTGCGTCGTTTCTCAGAATCCCAAAATTAGCTTTTTGCTTTTGAATAACCGCTGTCAGCATTATGTTGACCGTATAAAATTGAAAATCAGCATTAACTTAACATTGAATCTATTACAAAATAATATTCCTCATTTAGAAGACAAGCATTGGATTTTGAGATGTTATCAAAAGATTAACGCTTGCTTCTCCTGTTAAACACGTCTTGCTCTAAATTTTTGGCCAGAGCCAAATAATATGTTGATGTACGTGTGAGTAACACGTGCATACGAAAATATCCCTAACATTAACTAGGAAAGCCGAAATCTTAGTTAAGATAGACATGTTACAATTAATAATCAAATTTAATAAGGAAAAGTAACAGTTGCCGGGTACATTATAACGGCTTAAGAAATTCAGAGCACAGTACAGATGCGAGTACACAAGTTCACATATCTCGGCGAAACAGAGACGCACACATTTGTTGAAGTAGTTCCCCTTGACTGCCGGGG